AGCTCATGGACAAGGGCCGGTCGGGGCGGGTGGGCGGGGGGGAGGGCGAGGTCTTGGACGGAGACCGGTCCTGGGGCCAGGTGACGGCCTTGGAGAACTACAAATTCCACTTCCAACGCCTCCGCATGGTGGCCAAGGAGTTGATCATGCAGGTACGGGGGGGGGGGGGGACGGGGGGGGCTGGAGAGAGGGGCGATGTCCTGCCGCGAGCCTGGGCCCTAGGCCCCGGCTCCCTGCAAGTCCTTGTCAATCCATCAACCACGCCCTTCCCACGCGCCACAGAACTTCTCGTACGGCGGGAACATCTCGACCACGAGCATCGAGATCGTGGAGCGTCTGACCCGGTATTGGATCATCTTCCAGCACCATTTGAACGCCAACGAGGACTTCGTGCGGGACGACGGGAAGCAGAATACGGAGCAGTTGACCAACACCCTGGTGCCCCTCCAGGAGAACTACAAGTACGCGCACATGCTCGGGCAGCCCGCCCTCTGCGCCCACGAGGCCGAATTCCAGGCCTACGGCGTCCTCCTCACGGGGGACTTGAAGCAGGCCTTGAAAGGCGGGGTCGGCGTGAGCCGCTCTCCGGAGGTACGGCTGGCAGTGGACGTGCTTACCTGCGTGGAAACGGACAATTTCGCGCGGTTTTTCAGTCTTTTGCGCCGCGCTCCTTACCTTCCGGGGTGTCTGATGGCCAAATACGTGGAACGGATGCGCGAGAAGGCCTTGGAAGTCTGGGGCCGTGCCTACAACCCGACCAAGGCCCGCGGCACTGCATTTCGCACCGCCGATGTCCTGCGGGCGCTGTGCATGCAGGACGAGGACGAGCTGAAGGCCCTGGCAGTGAGCCGACCCTGGGTGGTGGTAGGAGAGGGGAGGGAGGCGGGAAGCACCAAGGTGCGGCGGGCCACGGCTGCGGAACGGGAGGGAGGGCTCCACTCCCCGGGCCTCTCCATGGGCGGGGCTGCCGGGGTGGCGTGGGACGAGGAGAAGCGACTCGTCCAGCGCCGCAAGGCTCGTGCCGCCATGATCCTCAAGTCGTCTTTCCCTTTCGTCCCCGCCATCGAGGCCAAAGCGGACGGGGTACCTTTCCGGGACTTGACCCGCGGTTGGCAGGGCGCGCTCTCTCTTTCCAGATCTCGGGATCGCCAGATGCTGCCCAGCCCTGTGCCCTCCCTCTCAAGCAGGTCGACGGGGATCGCCCCGCCTCCCTTCCCCGCCTCTTTGCCTAGTCCCAGCACGTCATCGCCTCCCTGCTTCCCTACGTCCATCCAGAAAACTCGGCCGACGACACGAGTCCCTCCCGCGCTGGGGGAGGTGAGGGGCGCAACGGACGCGGAGGCAGGCTTGCTCCGAGACAGGCTCGCGACCCCTGCAGCTGGGAGTCAAGCGAAGAGGGGGGCGACGAACGCGGGCAGGGGCGAAAAGCATCATGCGCTCTTCCCGCAGGTTCCCACGGCCCCCAGCCCCCTTCTGCCCGGAAGTTCCATGTTCCCTCCTGCCCCTGCCTTCACTGCCGGGACCTCGGCCCAAGTGACGAAAGGAAAAAGAGGCCAGGTTCCTTGGATGGAAAAGACTGCCTCGGGAGAAAGAGTTGTTAACGAGTCGGAGGGAGCGTCCGGCAGGACCGGGAAAGGGTCGGCGCTGCCCTCTATCCCGCCCTCCAAACCTGCCCTCCTTCCATCCTTCCAAAAGCCGCCTGTCGCGGAGCCCGTGGGCACGTGGGAAGGAAGGCAGGGGGGAGAGGGAGGCATGGGGGGAGATGCGATGACGGAGGAGCGAGACCGGTGGATGGAAAGCATGGCGGGGACTCTGCGACGCGGAAATACGGAGAGGGTTGGCAAGCAAGAGCAGAAAGGCCAGTCCTCAGACGGCAAGCATCACGGTGGCCCCCTTCCCCCCGAGCCCATCCATGATTCGTGGCATGGAAACGAAGAACGTGCTCAGGCGCTCTTGGCCGAAGCGCGTCTCTCCCAGGTCCAAGTGGCGGCGCGGAAAGGAGAAGTCAAGGAGCGAGTGCGCCGGGCCCTGCGCAAGCTCTCGCTTCTACACACCCGAAGGCGCCGATGCCAGGCCTGGGAGAGGTGGGTGGCCGTGGCCCGGCACGAGCAAGAGCAGGAAGACCGGGAGCGCCTCCGCTTTGAGACGGTGCTCGCCACAGGAGTCCTTCCCCCGCACCTCACCGGAGCCGCACCTGCTGTGTCGGCCTCCTCGTTGCTGTCGTTGCTCCAGCCCCTCCGCCCCCGCCTCCCCCTGAGCGATAAGCAGGTGGCGGGCTCGGGCTCCCGCCCTCATCGACGCTTCCTTCGTTTCCCCAGCTCGGTCGCCTCCCTCCGCCTCTCCCCCTCCCTCCCCCCCCATCCTCCCTCCCGCCCCATTAGACCTCCCCAAGATCGTTGGAAATAAACTCTGGGCCCGGCACCGGCAGGACTGTGTGAGCCTCCTGGATCCGCGCCACGACCCCGCCCCTCCCTCCCTCCTGGGCTGGAAGCTGGCGGTGGTGGCCGACGCGATGGATCCTGCGGGGGCGTGGTTGCTCGGCGCCCTCACGCTTCCCTCTATCTCTTCGCCCTCGACCTCTTCTTCCTGGTCGACCTCGTCGATGTTCTGGAGGAAGGGGTCCGGGGACGCGGTGGCCAAGAGCGGGAAAAGGAGAGAGGAGCGTGTGCTGTGGAAAGCAGAACATCGCTTGGCGCGGCGTGGGGAAGACGGAGCGGGCGAGGAAATCAATTTGAGCCTCTGTGTCAAGATGCTGTCGAGGGAGAGCATCATAGAAAGGGGGGAAGACTCGAGGAAGGAGGTAGCTCATGCGCTCTTGTTTCACTTGCCCGCGCCGGGATTCGCAGAGCCTACTCCGGATGAGGGGGTGCAAGAAGGGGGGGGAGGGGGGGGCAGAGGGCGGGAATGCGTATTGGCGGGCGTGCAAGAGGGACGTGCGAGCCTTGGTGGGAGGCACCACGCCGGGGATCCCGCTCTTGATATGCTTGGGACCCGAGGCGGCGCACGCGCTGGACACGTATGTGGACCGGCGGGCGGCTGAGAGAGTCGAGAAGGGCCTTGAGAATGACATGGATGTGCGGCAGAAGATCGCGGTGGCTCTAGAGCTGGGGCAGCGGGGCTTTCTCACCCGGGACGCGGAGGCTGTGGGCTTCGAGTGGGAGGTCTGCACGCTTCCCCCAACTGTTGTCTTTAGCACCGGGGCATTGGCAGCGTCAGGCGGGGAGGACGAGGGGCTGGAGAAGGGGAACTGGGAAGCCAGGGCCCGCGAGGCATTGGGCGACGCCCTCGGATTTTTGGGAGAGACCTGCCCCGGAACACCTCTCTTGGTCCGCGAGACGTTGGTCTCAGTGGTGGGGAGGGCCGTGCGGAAGGCCCTCTGGAAAGGAAAGCGGAACGCAAAGGCGGGACTCAGGCCTGCAGTCCAGGACGGGGGGGCAGGGCGGGCGGGCGATGTCTTTGAGGCCACGCCAGCGGGCTGTCAGCAGACTGTCAACCAAGCCTTGGCTGACGTTCGTGATCAGTTGTGTGCCCCCGCCCTCTCCATGGTCCCTTGGCCAGTCCCCGAATTTGCGTCCATCCCCACCGCGGCCTCTGGCTGGGGATCGGGTGGCGCGGAGACCACAAAGGAGAAGGGAGGTGCGACAGGAGTGGTGCCGCGCGCCCTGTGGTCGGACATGACGCGGGTGGGTTTTCGCTCCCCCGCCTCTCCTCGTCCGGGACAGCGGGCTGCACGGGGCCTTTTTGGCCTGCGCCGCCGCCGAATTCCAAATGGATTTGCAGAAGGCAAGCCAACAGCCGCGGTTGGGACTGGATACAGCCTTGCCCTGGGGTGGAACGATCCTCGACGGCTGCTGCGGCTTGAGAATCTCCTGGATGCTGTCGCGCTCCCCGCCTTGCCTCCCTCCCTGTCAGAGGAGCAGGATCCTGTTCGGTGGGTGGAAAGGTACCTGCAGGTCCTGCGAGAGGAGGGGAGCGGGCAGGGGTGGTCGCTCGGTGTCTCTGCGCAGCTCGCTCAGTTCGCCCGGGGGTTGGCATTGGAAGCGCGGGCGGAATGGTATGAGGAGGGCAGGGGGGGAGAGGCGGGACCCGTGGCGCCGTGGAACCGGTTGTTCACGGCCATGGTGGTGGATCGTCTGAGCTTGGGCTGCGGTCGAGCGGGGGACGGGATAGCGGTCGGGACGGGGGGCGCGGAAGGCCCTCCCTTGCGGTGGGCGTATCATCTGCATGGGGGACCGAATCAGGAGGGCGAGGAGGGTGGGAGGGAGGGGACAAGTCTGCGGGAATACCAGGAGATGGACCTGGACGAGGGGCATGGGCGGGCGCACGAGGACTTCTTCCACTACCGAGAGGCGACCTCGCGTCGTCTAGGAAGCGATGGGGGATGGAGTGGCGGCATTGGGAGCTTGCTCCGGAGCGGTCGACGCCGGAAACGAGCAGGGCGGGCAGCGTACGCATTGGATGCGGAGATGGCCATGGTCAGCTTGGAGGAGTCCGCGGGGGGGGCGGGGAAAGGGGGAAGGGAGGGAGATGTCTACGAGGACCCGTCCTCGCCGGGGAGGGATGGGCAGGGGGGAAATAGCGAAGAGGGAGAGGGAGGAGGTGGAAGGAAGCGGGCCCGGAGAGTCTCAGGAGGGGATGATATGGAGCCTGTTCATGGGGTGCAGCCGTCGCTGGGCAAGGAGAGTGAGAGTGGGGGCATCGGAGGAAAGGACGCGGACAGTCTTGCCTCCCTCAGTCGGAGTCTCGCGAGGGAGTCCAAGGCCTGGGGCGGGGCCATGAGCTTTCTCAAGGCGTTTCTATGATCACAGGAGTAAACCAGGTCAAGACGAGGTTGGAGTGGGGACGGTCCTGGAAATACGATTTTCCAGTAAACGGGTGAGAGACATGCTCACTCAAAGTACATTGTGTACGACTCTCGCTCACACACATGCGTGTAGATAGTGTACAGTGTGCACCTTCAAGCTCCGAGGAGCGAAAGAATTAATCAAGCTATCTAGTCCGTAGCCTCGCGCATTTTATTGTCTTCGTCCACACGCGTGTTTCTTTATGCGCCGTCCTGCCTCATGCTCGTCTTTTATGTCCTCATGCGAGAACCCATTATGTGCTGACCCTCCCTCGTACGGCGTCCTCCCTCTCCTGTCTCCACCGCTCCTTCTTGCTCCAGCTCCCGACATCAATCTCTCGATTTTAAAGATATTTGCGACACAATTACAAACCACCTGTGCCGCCTCCCGCCTGCCTCTGGACGGGGCATGTCGCCTATTGCCTTGCCAACCATGTGAACTTCCCCCCCTGGCCCCTTTTCCCCCTGCCTGTGTCCCTGTTCCCTCAAGCATCGTCGCTCACGTCCACGTACGTTATATCCGCCTGGTCCGCGAGACGATCCAAGACCATGTCTGCTAAGAGCTTCGCCTCGAGCTGATCGCGCAAGGCCTTCTCGTCCAGCCCTTGTCTCTCCGCCTCCAGCTTTCTCAAATCGATCTGGTCCTGCAGCTCTAGCGGGTCCACCTGCAAACCCTCGTCTTCTGCCACTTTGGCAGTCGCCACACCCAGCATCAAAGTCTTGACCGTCTGCGGATAGGCGATTTCTCGATACTTCTCGAAGTTTTCCTTGGTTATCATCTTTTTCACCTCCTCCTCCGACTTGCCCTGCGTGGACATCTCTTGCATCATCAAGGCGAACTTCCGCCGCGTCTCCTCCACAATCCAGCACTCCGGGATCTCGGCCCGAGTGATTGCCAGCAGCGCCTCCTCCAGAGCCTTGTTGCGGTTCATCTTGGTCCGCTCCTCCGCATCGGCATTCACGGCGTCCACAACCTCTTGTTTGATTCCCTCCGGCGTCAAGTCCGGTCGAATCTCCTTGGCGAACTGCTCATCAATCTCAGGAACGATCCGGTTTTTCAGCTCCAATATCTCCACCTCGAACTCGGCTTTGATACCGGCCAGCTGCGGGTCCCGGATGTTCTCGGGGAAAGTCACGGGGATCACCACCTTGCAGCCCGCCGGCTTCCCGACCAGACCCTCGACGACGCCCGGAAGGAATCGCCCCTCCTCCAACACAACCTCCACGCCCTCACCCGCCGCGATGTTCCTCATCTCGGGCCCACGGGTGCCGTCCGAGAGCATCTGAAACGCCTGCATGTTCACGATGGCCGAGTCCCCCAGCTTGCCCTCGTAGCCAGGCGCCGTGTCCACTAGACGGACGCGCTTCTTTCGGAGCGATTCCAGCGCCTGTTTGACCTTCTCGTTCTCCAAGGGAATGCGATCCACCTGCACCTTCAGGCCCGCGTAAGGACCCGTGAATTCTACCTCCGGGTACACGTCCACAGTCAGCTCCATGACAATGGGCTCCCCGGGCTTGAAGGCGGCGATCAGGGTCTCAGGGTGTGACACCAATGAGGCTTGCCCCACCGCCTTCACGTCCGATTCGTCGATGGCCTTTTTCAGTGCGTCTTCGCACAGAATGTCCAGAGCTTCATTGATGATGACCTGGGGGCCGCCCACCGCATTCAAAAGGACTTGCTCGGGGACACGCTGGCCTTTCCGGAAGCCCGGAATTGACGTTTTGCTTTCCTCGATCATGCGTTTGCAGGCCTGGTCGTAAGCCTTGCGGGTAAGCGTGCCAGGGACGGTGACAAAGAGGGCAACAGAGGAATTAGCGCGGGCCTCCACGCTGTTATCGAAAGAGGGGAGGGGAGGATGGCAAATGAGAAAACGTTTCCTCATTGGAAATAGAGGGATAAAAATGAGAAAAGATTGCATACATAGAGCGTAAATTATCTGGTGCATTCGCAAATGCAGATCTCTGAACAGGTATCCATCAAAAGAGAAAAGTATCGTGAAAGGTTTTGCCAGATACATACTACATGCCTTTTGGAGGTTAAGGCGGTCAAATAATTTGCGATTAGACATGTATTTAGCATAGAAAAATCTCACTTTCGACCTTAATAGACGCAACATGAGAGCCAAGGGGTGTAAGAGACGACAAAGTCAAGTGCAACTTGGGCGAGTTAGTACTTTGCCCAAAGTCGCTTGAATACGGGGAAATCGACAAACATGATCAAGGCGATAAATGATACGGATAGTTTTCTGATAATGACACAACTACTTACGTTGTCTGGACATTTTCTGATAGTGTCGAGTAGAGGGACAACTTGCTATGCTGCTGGCGCTGATACAAGTTGGCGGGAAGGCGAGGGATAAAAGCCTGCGCATTCCAGGCACTGAAAAGGATAGCAGCCATAGCTGCGCATCGTCGTTGATTGACAAGCATGATTTCGCCTGCGCATCAATGTGGTCGGAACATGCGTGAGTAAGCGTGCCAGGGCCGCGAGACCCTAAGTATCGTATCTGGGGATGAGTGGCGGCAAGGCCGGGCGGGTCTCGGGAAAAATTCCGCGAAAAGGGTCGGGGGGTACGCATAAGACATAAAGCCCTCATGATGGCACTGCTACAAAGAAAAGTTTGGACGCTCTTTTCGGCGCGATGGGTTGGAAAGTGAAGCACTATTGGGCCCAGATATTGTGAATGCGAAAGAAACTATCGGGGGAAAAACAATGTCCACGCTCCCATCGGTGTAGTTTGGAAAGCGGTAACAACAGCTGGAACGTACTGTACACACGGCCGCAATTTTCATTCGTACACAAAATTATCAACAAGGCAGAAATATTTGTGCTAGCCATTTTCCCATTTACGCATGCTGAGTGCGTGCGCCGGGTGTGGGCCGCGCCTCGGGTAAGGATTACGCGCGCTCACTCACTCACTCTGAGGCTCAAGCTAGACTGAGTCCGATTCCCCCCTTCTTCCTCCCCCCGCCTCGTGCTCCTTCCGCCTTTTCAACGCCAGTTCATTCCACTGCTCAGACTTTCCGGCAAACGACACCCGACCGCGCTCGAGCTCTAGAACGTGCGAGGTCACTTCGGGCAATGCCTCGTCCTCATGGTGACTGATGTACAGCAACGTCAACCACGACGAAGCAGATTTGGCAATCGTGGTCAAAAGGCTCATGATCAAGGCGCGATGCTGGCTATCGAGACCTTGGCAGGCCTCGTCGAAGATGAGGAGAGGAGGGGCTCCTATGAGGGCGCGGGCGATGACGACGAGCTTCTGTTGGCCCTGTGACAGGCGCCCGAAGGGGGTGGAGTACAGACTGGAAATTCCCAGAATGTCTCCCCACTCTTTCAGGAGCGGGAGAAGGCGGGCAGGCGGGTTCAGGAATGGCCGCTCCAGCCGTTCGTGCTCTGGCTGCCCTTGATCGACGGGTGGGTGTGGCGGCGGGGGTGGGGAAGACGCCGGGTCCACCATCCCCGCGGAGGACAGGGGCTCCAGGCCGGAGAGGACGACGGCGGAGGCGGGCCATTCCGAACAGGTGGCTGCCAACTGGAGGTGGAGCTCGGTGGAGACCACGCCGATATGAGGCACCCCCACCGCCACGCGACCCTGCACCTGCGCGCTTGGACCGGTATGCCCCTCCGCCCGCCCTCCTTCCCCCCCTTTTCCCGCCCGACGCCGGCGCTCCTCGAGGTCTTCTCTCCATCGCTCCAGAAGGAGCCGGGTCAAGGTGGACTTGCCCGCACCGTTCAGGCCCTTCAGAGCCCATACCTCTCCCTGCTTCACCCGCCAGCTCACGGTGTTGAGCAAGACATGCTCCCCCTTCGTGTAGCGGACCCCGTCGAAGAGGAGGACGGTCTGGAGGTTCTCGCGCGCCTTGGGGCTGCTCAAGGTGCTGGCGCGGGGTACCTGGGGCCGGTAGAGCTTGGGCAGGGTTCTGGGGAGGGAAGGGAGGGGGGCATGTCCCAGGGCGCGAAGAGATGCAAGCCGCTGAGCTTCCATGGCGCCCTCGTATTCTGTGAGACGAGGGGGGAAGAGGGGGAGGAGAGGGAGTGAGTGGGGCTCGGCCTCAGGGACAAAACGTCGCGGGAGAGGCTTGTCTCCCCTGCCCACGCACCGATTTCGAAGCCGTCCACGGACACCAGGCGCCCCACCTCCTGAGGGACCTCCTCCCGACGGTGCGTGACCAGCACCATGGACGTGCGCGGGATGGAGCGGCGGGCCAAGCCCAGGTCGACAAGGAGGCGGGGGAAGCCCTGGCAGAGCTGGGAGAGGACGGTGTGGAGGCTTTTGCTGGGTAAGAATGTGGAGGGGGGGGAGGGGGAAAGGGGAAAGTAGGGGTAAGAGGAGGGAGTGGGGGAGGGAGGGGGAAGGGGGGGGGGGGCGGCCGGCGAGGTCCGATGTTCGCACCGTGAGGGAGCGTCGAGTCCATCAAAAGGCTTGTCTAGGACGAGGACCTGCGGGGATTTGCTCAGGGTGGCGGCCAAAAGCACCTTCCGGATCTCTCCCGTGGATAGCATGTGGACCCTCTTGTACCTGGAGGGTGATGAGGAGGGGAGAGGAGGAGCGCATGTGGGCAAACGGAGGCGAATGGGTGCCAGACGCAAGCCCTGACGAGATGGGAGTGATGATCTTTCGCAATATGCGGATGCTTGAGAAAAGGGAATGGCTGGCAGACACTGGGGGGTGGTGACGGGGGCTGAGGACGACGCCTCCCGCTTACCAGAGGGGGTACAGACCCAGTTGCACGATAAGCCGTCGCGCCAAGGGATCACTTGACCCTCCCAGAACATCCGCCACCACTCGGTCTTTGTAGCGGGCCAGGAAATGCCCATGCATGCTGAAGGACATGAACATGACACCCTCTCGCCCGGTGGCTTTCCCGGCGCCTTCTTTCTCCGCTTCCTTGCACCCGGTCCCCTCGAGCCGCTCTTGCTTGGCATCTGCACCCTGAAAAGATTCTTCTGTATCTTCCATACCCATCATCCCGTGAGGCAGGACCTCTCTATGCCCGCCGAGCGCCTGACAAAACAAGGACTTTCCCGCCCCGTTCTTGCCTATCACGCACACATGGTCACCGAAGCGCAACACGTAATCTTCCTTCCCTCCAGCAAAAGCTCTGAAAGTTTTAATGCCTTCGTCTGATTCCTGGGCAACGAGGATGCCGTTTCTAGCGTCCAGCCGGGCGAGTTCTTGGGGAGGCAAGGCTTTTTTTCCGGCATGGGGGGGAGGTTTTTGGCCGTAGATCTGACGCCATTTGGCTGCATCCGTCTGGCTCGTCGCGAATCTCTTGTTGCCAGTACACGCTGATGAAAGTGCGGTACCTGTCCAAGAAATGTGACACCTCCCCCTCGTTGGTATGCGGCATGCGGCCATTACCTGTGCAGAATGACCTCCGCTCTCTGCGATGTAAAAAGATGAAGAGAGAGCCGGATTAATTCCTCCACAAGACAGGACGGTCGAAATGATAAGTGAAATTTTGGGAGGCAACTGGCAAACAAGAAGAACGTGCAAAAATATGTAGGAAAGCCCTTTAAAAGCCAAGGCACGCCAGTGACGGGCGGTGAAACCAACAAGGCAGGGAAGTTCTCGATCCCTTCCCTGGCGATGATTCGCTTTACGCCTCGTCTCCTGGACGCCCTGTGACGCACTCAACACGAATTTATACCCCCCCTTGCCATCAGCGCCCGTCAAGCAGGGACGCTGCGAGGGCCATGGTGCTGCGTGGAGGCTATCAGCGGATTGGGTAAGTTCTTTTTTCCGTGGCATGATTGTAACCATGGAGTCGCATGCACACTTTGGAGTGGGCTTACGAGCACCTCTCAAAAACACCGCGTTCCGCATCTCGACTTTTGGACATTCTACAGGGAGGGAAAGGAAGACCTCCCAGTGGTGCACGAGGATGAGGAAGACAATGTGTCGATGGTGCCACCCGCGGCAGTGGCAAGGTCTGGTATCGGTAAGCCTTTCTTGAATGAATCCCGAGACGTGAGGGGGCAAAGAATGGCAAGTCATGCTTGAGTCTGACGCTGTGACTACTCGAGCACATTTCTCATCTCTTGTGGACATTTGTGCGCCGTAGCCCATGCCACAGCTCAACGAGGCGGGGTAGTGACGGCCCTGCTCGAACACCGCCCCTTCCTGTATGGGTACAGCTTGCTCCTCCTGACCTTCTCCGTGGCGGCTCTCGTCTATGTTCTGCAAGGGCAGCCCCCGCCGGCCCCGAACTCGCCCTCCTCTCTCCCATTCGGAGAAAGGTACGTCCTGTGTGTGCTCACTCCCCGACAAAGGACGGGACAGAGGGAAATTGCCTCCGGTCTTGCCCCAGCACGTGTTTTTCCCTCCTTTTCCACGCGTTGGTTCCTGACCCGGTCGCGGCGGATACACACCCTAGCATGTCTCTCGCTCCACCATCCACGTGCTCACTTCCGTCTTTCTGGCGCAGTAGCGCCTCTGTCGCCACGGCGGGGCACGACGGAGCGCGGCCCACACCCACCCTCAGGTTGGAGGGCTACGACTTCATCGTGGTAGGCGGGGGGCCGGCAGGGAGCGTCTTGGCGAACAAGCTGAGCGAGGATCCGGCCGTGGAGGTCCTCCTCTTGGAGGCGGGGGGGGCGAGTCAGGGCTGTCTAGGGGGCACGGACTACACGGCGTCGCCCCTGACCATGTTCGACGTGCCGCTGCTCTGGAGCACGGTGGCGCACCAGGCGGACTACCACTGGGACGTGGAGGGGGCCATGATTGCCAAGGTTCTGGGAGGCTGCGGCGCGCACAATGCCATGCTCTACGTGCGCTCTCTGCCCAAGGACTTCGAGGCGTGGAACCTGACGGATGTGGGGTGGACGTGGGAGGCCGCGCTGGCGGAGGACATGGCGCTCGAGGACTTCGACGGCCCCCCCTCCTCCTACCACGGCAAGGGGGGTCCGATCCGGTCCGCGCCGCCCATGTACGTGGACCAGGTCGCGCCTTACTTTCTAGAAGCCTGCCGGATCACGGGCCTGCCCATTTCCGACGACTTCAATGCGCCCAATGGACGCCTGGGGGCTGCCTACTACCACTTTTGCATCAAGAACGGGGTGCGCATGAGCGCCGCCCGTGCCTTTTTGGGCCCGATTATGGACAAAAGGAGCAATTTGGACATAGTTCTGAAGGCGAAGGTGACGCACGTGCTCATGTCGGGCGAGAAGGACGGCGTCTACACGGCCACAGGCGTGTCGTTCGCCGCGGAAGGGGGTGACAGCCGGGAGGCGCGGCTCAAGAGCCCGGGGAGGGGGAAAGGGAAAGGGAATGTCGTGCTGACCGCAGGCGCCATCCACACTCCCAAGATCCTCATGAATTCGGGCGTGGGCCCCCGAAGGAAGCTGGAAGAGGCCGGCATCCCTGTGCTCGTCGACCTACCGGGCGTCGGGGAGAACCTCCAGGACCACCCCTCTGTGCCCATGACCTTCACCTTGACCACGCCCTTGGCGGGGCGGGTGGCGGCGGCGGCGGGTTCCTTCGAAGAGCTCACCGAGTACAAGGACTGGGTGGTGGAGGGGGGGGAGATCCTCAGGGCCAAGGGCGCGACAAGCAGGGTCGATCGAGCCGGCGGGCCGGGGCAGCAGTGGGGAGGGGGGGGCTTCTTCCCGGGTGACCAGCCGGGGAGCCAACAGAAGGACTACACCATATTCGCGAGCAGTGGCTTTACTGCGGGGGCCTTCCTCAAGTCGGACAAAGGGAGCAAGAACCCGGCCTTCAAGGAAAACTACCCGGATCTACAGTTGACGGTCTTCCCGCGCATCTCAGAGCCCCATCTGGTGCAGAAGCAGCAGGAGAGCGAAGAAGCCATGGATGCGGGCGCCAGCCCGCGGGCGGCCAACCTGTCGTCCACCCCGACCTTGCCGCCAGCGAGCAAGACCCAGCGGGGCACCATGCTCGTTACCATCGCGCTCTTGGACCCGCAGGCACGGTATTCCGTGGAGCTGGATCCTCGGGACGCCATGCATGGGCCTGCACGCGTGCGGGAAGCGAACGTGTCGGCCTCGGAGGGCGAAGGCTTTCTCTCCGACATGGACATTGGGAAGTTGATATGGGGGGTACGGAATGTGCGCGTGATTGCGCGGACGAGTCCCATGACGGAGGCGGCGCAGGAGGAGACGCTGCCTGGGCCCGATTTGGTCGATGAGGGTGTCCTGAAGAAGTGGGTACGGAAGAATAAATTCGTCAACTCCCATTGGTGTGGGAGCTGTAAAATGACCAAAGAGGAGGATCCTATGGGGGTCGTGGACCCGCGCTTGCATGTCATGGGAGTGGACGGACTGCGAGTGGCGGATGCCTCAGTTTTTCCTACTATTCCGAGTGGGAACACACACAGCACGGTATTGATGGTGGCTTCGAGGGGGGCGAAATTTATTTTGGATGAATTTTTCGGGCGTTGAGGAGAGGTAGCGGAAGATGGAGGAGTCATACGATTTGAAGGAGGCAACAAGGAAAACAATTGTACAGAACCTCCCAAAGAGTGCCTTCTGCCCAACACGTGGCCTCGATCTGTATTCGTCTTCTCGTTTCCTCGGATATCTTGATTCTTCAGGCACACGTCTTATGTATGTACACCATCTTGTTGACTACCCACTGACGACCGCGAGCGCCCTATACACGCCAAACTCCATTCTTATCCCGGTCAAATCAGCACACGACATTTTAAAAAGCCGCGCGCACCCTCTTTCGACCATTCCATTTTTCCTTCTTGAAATCTTACTCGCAGCACCTCTCCTTCCTCTCCCGCCTCCCGCTAATCAACTCCGTCTCAAAAGCAGTACCGAAAAAAAGTTCACCAACAGCGTAGCCTATCCCTAAAGCCAAAAAGATGCCAGGATTATACGTCATGGCCGCGAGCATCAAGAGCAGCGCATACATATACAGAAAAGCGGATAAAGCGGCCTGCACGACCCGTTTTTGAAATGGCACCTTACTTAAGGAGCTAACCCTCGGGCCAAGCCCGGCAGCATCCTCATGACCTTCCCTCGAGAGAAGGGATTCCTCAAGTTCCGTATTCACACCCAAAGTGTCATTTCTACAGGATTTACCTTCCCTTTCTCCACGGCTGGAGCAATCGATGTTACCAGCTAACGTCGTGACTGCGAGGGCCCTCTTTACGTATGCCGTCTCGAGCTTTACAAGCCAACGGAACAAAACGACAGCAACAAACATGGCAAGAAGCGTTGCAATGTACTGCCCCTCAGTTTGGACGTCCCACCATCCCCAGATGACTTTCAGCTGGTAGGTAGAAAATGGAGCGAAAGTCATGCTCATCGAACCCATCATATCCATCCCGCCGTCACTTCCACCATCATCCATAATTAAAGGTTGGGTAGAAGCCTCGCTGCAGAGACTCCTGTCCTGCTGATATGCCAGGAGGGAGTTGTGAAGGAGATTCTGAGGACAAGATGTGTCTGTCGTTGCTCAACTCGTACCGCTTTGATGAAGAAGAAAAAGTAGGCCTGAAAAAGTGCCGCATTGGTCCCACCGCCGTCATGGCATGCATAGGGGGAAAAGTTTTCCATGGGAAGAGCACATAAGAGATCGCATGCGTGCCTCTGCCTTCCAAGAGTGGCAAGCCCAAGGGCCTTCGGAGATAGTGTCATCTTGCAAAGAAAACGCCGTAACGGTTCGAGCATGTTCGTCATTCGTAAACCGGCCGCTTATTTGCCTCCAAAGTCCTTTCTTTACCCACACATACGGGCGTGTACGCGTCTCTTTAACTGATTCAGATGATTCGGGTTTGTAGTCGCTAGGATGCGCGTGCTTTGTCTTTGCATTTATTACATTTGAGAAAAGAAGGGGAGGTTGGTTGTCCAAGTTCTCCTTTTTCCTCGCCCTCCGTCAAACGAGCCTATAACCCCAGTCGTCGTTCCTATGTCGTTTATCCCCCTGTACCATTCCTGCTGTTTTAAAAAAGTCATTGCGCACTCACAACGTGGCCCGGGTCAACACACTAGTCCGCTATGTGTATTGATCTGGTAGGATGGTAGAGTTGACAAGATCCGATCGCATGAAGAGGGTACCGGTCAAAGGCATGTGGTCCCACACAAGGCGGAGGGTGATGTTCTTGTTTCTGGAGAACAAATGCATGGGATGAATGATGAACAAGTCAGGCATACCGATACAACAGGAGTAAGCGATCTTGACATAGTTTTTCGCGATGAATTTCGCCTCATCCCTGTTCTCACCGTAGCTCTACCGCTGGATCTCGAAGCGGGTAATCCAAAAATTCGGCTTCCAAGTTCAGCACAGCATCTTCTTTTCTCTCAATGATGCGGTCCCACACGACGACCTGGCTCAAGACCTAATGCATGTGGTATTTCATGAAAAAGAGGATGACAAGGGGCATGGAATGGGTTGAGCTGCGGAAAGAAAGAGAAATTACTTACATTCTTTTTGCTCTCGTACTCGACCACAACGAAGACAAAGAGTTGCTTTATATTCCAATCGAAGGCTGGGGAGAGGTCTGGACCGAAAAAAAGGGTTAAAGGCCGTGGGGCAGGAGACAAGGCGTAAGCGGGGAATCAGGAGGAAAAGGAGCAGCAAGGACGCCAACCCTCTATCCATGTCAAAATGAATCCCCTTGAATGCGGCCGATCGCACAAAACATACGTCCTGATTGGACAGGTCGACGGATACGGGCCAGGCCCTCTTTCCGTTCCTCCCTCCCCTTCCCACTTCACGCACCGGCTTTAAGGTCAAAATTGAAGAGAGCCTGGTCGTAATGATAGCCTGTCTGACCGTTGTCCCGCACTCGGCGCCTTTGTAAGGTCAGCGGGTAAGGAGAGAGAGGGTGCGATCAGCTTTTCCTGAACCCTTTCCAGCTCTCTGGTCCCAGCGCTCGTCTCCCAACTTCCATAAAGTGTACCCATTTGCCCAACACCCCAAGACTCACAACTGAATCAATTTATTCACGTTGAGTTGCTGCACTGAGCCGTAGTCCCCGTGGCCATAGGTGCTGAGGGAAAGGGGCAGGGAAGGCAAGGCAAAAGAAGACGCGTAAGACTTGTGGTCGAAACTCTCGGGACACTATGCGAGATGACGCAACAAAGACGTGCAGTATACGTTTCCTTAGCTTCGTAATTTACACGAAGAGTCCGTATCCTCGGATTTCCGTCCCTTACGTCGCTTCATTCTTCTCCGCCTCGGCTTTCTTCTTTCCTCCTTATACTGCTGTGCGTACCTGAAGGCAGTCAACACTGCCAGGCAGAGCAAAACTGTAAAACCAAAGAAGACTACTGCATTCAAACGCACCCAGAAGGTGTGCATCTTTCCTTTTCTGTTCCAAACTTCGCGTCGTAGGGAGAGGTGGATGGATAAGAATCAAGAGGTTAAGAAGCGTCTTACAGCATACGACTTTTCTTGGAACGCCACAGTTCGTCTTTTCTCCATCAAACACATCGAGACAAGGGCAGATAAACTGGATCCTTTCACCTCAAACAAACACTAGTCCCTCTCCAACATTCTTGCCCTCTCGCCCTGTTTGCCAGGTACAATTTTATTACCTGCACCAGGGACGCTGTCTGATCGTGAAACAGGCCCAACTTGCTGCTAGTAATGCGCTCCAGATGCCTACGTACAATGCCTTTATCACGTTCTGCCTGGTTCTTGTGTGTACATAATGTGCAGGAGCGGGTCCAAAATGAGGTGAGTGGAGGGTCACCACAATGTATCATGGCGCCGGTTGACGCTGCAAAAAAGGCGTAAAAACATGCCTCAACCCACGTCATGCCACGCGTCATGCACAACACTATGTTTCTGTTGTCTCGAACATGTAAGCGTGTCGAGCGCGTGGCAATAATTGAAAAAAATGGGGCACTCCTATGGCCCCCTCTCCTCCACTCCCAGAGGCCAGCCTCGCGGTTGCAAGTTGCCGCTTCTACTTGAGGCAACCGGCGCCAGAGATCGGATGACAGAATCATGAATGTGTGACGACGTGATATCCTGAAAGCGTCCGCACGTGCAGTGGCAGACCAATGACACTCGACACGCGTGCCGCGTTAGATCTTATTGAGGTAGTGGACGCGCTTCAGCTCGGAAGAACTTTGTTCCTACCACCTCCTACAAGTACACCCCTAGCGCACCCTCTCATCGATCGAACAATACACTTGAATCTCCCTCACACAAGCAGCCATTGTTTGCAGCAGGCTCGATGATCATCAATGCCACGACGAATACAAGATCGAAGAGAGCATGGGACCAGTTTTCTGTTTCCTCACCTGAGTCAGTAGCATTCCCGGACCGCGACGGGGAAACTTCCATGCCCGCATTTGGGGTCACGCGTCCTGTCTCTGCCATGGAGCCGATAGCCAGGAGGAAGGCGATACCTCATGGAGCAGTCAAGGGGTACACTCTGATTTGCTCTGCCTTGTTTCTACTGAAATTGTTGGCCCCCAGCGTCGTCGCCTTCACCTCTCCGAGTCCATCCTTGTGGATGCACGGGGGTGAGAGGGTAAGGCCTTCATTTAGAAAGGCGCGGCCTCTCCCGCAAGTCTCCTCCCTCACTAGACTGCGTGCTATTTCGGAAGGCGACGTCGCTCATCGGCAGGCACAGTCACGCAAGAAGAAGCAGAAGCGGGAGAAGACTCAGGACTTGCAGGTCCCGGAGGCCTTGGTGGAAGCGTTTAAACCCCAGCAACAGGCAGGACCTGCTTCCCCTTCCAAAAGAAACCCGCTGGAGTTGCTATACAGCTCGGTGCGGGACAAATGGTCCCCGGGCCTCTCCGTGGAGAACGAGGAGCGGACAAGGAGCCTGGGCAGCGCGCCTGCCGCCCCTCCCCCTCCCGCGACCGCCCGCATCGTCCTGGTGGCCGGATTTGAAGCCTTCAACGTCCAGCTCTACAAGCAAGCGGCTGCCACGCTCGCGGACATCTCCCCCTCCATCCACCTGACCGTCTTCACGGATCGAGACATCGCCTCGCGCCCCGAGGTGGTGGCTTCGGCCTTGGCGGGGGCGGATGTCTTCTTCGGCTCCCTCATCTTCGACTACGACCAAGTGAATTGGCTCCGGACTCGCCTGGGCCACATCCCCACCCGGCTTGTCTTTGAGTCGGCCTTGGAGCTCATGTCCCTCACCCAGGTCGGGGGCTTCGCGATGAAAGCCGCCTCTGCCGAGGGTGGCGAGGGGGGGAAGGCCGCGTCCGCCCCCGGCCCCCCCCCCGTCGGTGAAAGCCTTGCTCAGTAAGTTCGGAAGCCAGCGGGAAGAAGACCGGCTGAAGGGCTACCTCTCCTTTCTGAAAATTGGACCTCGAATTCTTCGCATGGTCCCGGGGAGGAAGGCCCGGGACATACGGACCTGGCTGGAGGTGTACGCCTACTGGAACCAGGGGGGGGCGGCCAACGTCGTCTCCCTCTTCCTCCTTCTCGTGCGGCGATTTTCTCTCTTGGGCCCGGAGGCAAGCCGGGCGCTGGTACAACCCTTGCAGGTGAAGGAGACGCCCGCGCAGGGACTCATCCACCCGCTGACTCCCCGGATCCTCCAGTCCCCCAAGCAGTATCTGAGGTGGTACGTGGATCGGGCAGCCCGGGGTCGGGTTCAAGACGCCATGGTTTCCTCCCCGCAGACGGCCCCCCGCGTGGCAGTTCTCCTTTACCGGAAGCACGTGATCACCAACCAGGTCTACATTGCGCAGCTCCTCCGGATTTTGGAGAAGGAAGGCTTGCTCCCGGTGCCGATCTTCATCAACGGAGTGGAGGGGCACACGGTCGTGCGCGACCTACTCACCACCCGTTTCGAGCAGGAGGAACGTCGGCGGGGGTTACGCCGCATCGACTCCCTCTCCCCGGAGGCGGTGGAGGTGGATGCGGTTATCAACACGATCGGCTTCCCCTTGGTCGGGGGCCCGGCGGGGAGCATGGAGGCAGGGCGACGCGTGGACGTGGCGACGCGTCTCCTGGCCGCCAAGAACGTGCCCTTGTTGGTGGCCGCCCCGCTTTTGCTCCAGGATCTAAGCAGCTGGCGGGAACGAGGGGTGTTGGGGCTGCAAAGCGCCGTGCTCTACTCCCTGCCCGAGTTGGACGGGGCGGTGGACACGGTGGTCCTAGGGGGGTTGGTGGGGGACAAGATCGCCATCGTCCCGGAACGGGCTCGGAAACTCGCCCGCCGCATCCTGGGCTGGCACCAACTGCGTGTCACGCCAGCCAAGGAGAAGAAGGTGTCCATCCTTTGCTACGGCTTCCCGCCCAACGTCGGGGCCATCGGGACAGCGGCCCTGTTGAACGTGCCTCGGTCGCTGGAGAAGCTTTTGATCGCTTTGCAGGAGCAGGTGAGAGGGGTGGGTCCGAGCACTGACGGACAGCTTCTTCTTGCTTGACTTCTCTTTTTCGTGTCCGTATCTCCCTGCCGACCCGCGGTGGCGTTGCATGTAATGCCTCCCTAGTTCTGTCTGACCTGGCTCTGCTTTTCCTCTCTCAGGGCTACGACACGGGGCTGGACGCGCGGAAGATCGACGGGGAGAGCGTGATCGCCATCCTCACGGCCATCAATCAGGAGGCCGTGGTGGCGGGGGGCCCGAAGAAGATGCACGCCATGGTCGAGGCGGGCACCTTCGACGGGGGGAACGGGGCCGCGGGAGGGGAGATGCTCAAGGCGAGAATCACTGCGGAAGGGATCCTTCCGGGCGCGTTTCGGGCGGCGGTCGGGGAGAGGACCGCGGCGAGGGTCGAAAAGATGTGGGGGGAGCTGGAGGGATACGTGGGGCTCTTCACCAGCCAGGCAGGGGAGCTGGTCGTGGGCGGGGTGCAGCTCGGGAACGTCTGGATCGGCATTCAACCGCTCTTGGGCATCGAGGGAGACCCCATGCGTCTGCTCTTCGAGCGCGACCTGACCCCCCACCCCCAGTACGTTGCCTTCTATGACTGGATGCGGAACAGCTTCAAGGCGCAGGCCGTGGTACACTTCGGGACGCACGGGACCGCGGAGTGGCTCCCCGGCTCGCCTCTGGGGAACACAGCCACCACCTGGCCCGATATGTAAGACCTTTCTCTTTCCTCCGCGCAGGCCGCCTCGGCAGTCCCACCGTGCCATCAATCTGACCGTGCCCTCCCTCCCTTCCTCCCTTTCCCTCACGTCCTCCCTCCCTCAGCTTGATGGGGGAGATCCCCAACCTGTACGTCTACGCCTGCAACAACCCTTCCGAGTCCATCCTGGCCAAGCGCCGGGGCTACGGTAAGTGACGGGTCGCCGCTGGAGGAGGGACGGCGTGTGCGGCCAGAACGCGGGCGCGCGGGAGGGGAGGTGCTGAAAGGCTGCGCGTATATTTTTTTCCCCCACCTCATTTCCACGTTCCCACCTATTCCATAGGCACCATTGTCAGCCACAACGTCCCCCCCTACTCTCGCGCCGGTCTATACAAAGACCTCGCGCAGCTTCGCGAGCTTGTGAGCGAGTACAGGGAGAACAGCGAGGCCAACGCCGGCCTGCGTCCCGTCATTGTGGGCGTGCTGGAGCGGACGGGTCTGTGGGAGGACTGCCCCTGGCCCTCGCCTTCGTCTCCCGGTGCGGGAGGGGGGGGCGGGAGGGGAGGCTGACGCCAGAGGAAGCCGCGTCGGTGGACGCTGCGGCTTTCAATGCCTATATGGGCCGGCTTGCCTCCTACTTGGGGGTGCTGGAGCAACGGCTCTTCTCGGAGGGGCTGCACGTGCTGGGGGAGACGCCCTCGCCTCGTCAGGTCTACCAATACCTGGACGCCTACTTCGACCAGGACCTCCCCCCCCTCCTCCTTGAGGCCATCGCCGGGCTACCCACCCCGCCCGCGGCCTCTGCAAAGAGTCTTCTTTCGGATCTGGTCGCCTCGTGTCGCGCCTCCTCGCCCTCCTCCCCTCCTTCTGCCCCACTCTCCGCCGAGGGAGGGCAGCTCTCGCATGGGTCTGGTCCCGGGGAATGCGGGGTCGAGGACGTGACGGAGGCGCTGCTCCGCGAACTGGAAAGGGGGGACGGGAGGCCGGTCACCCACTGGTACAACAGCCTCTCCAACGAGGAGAAGTACGCCATGACTCTTTACCGACCCAACGACCTGCTGCGCTTCTACTCCTTGCGCCTGCGCCGGGCATGGGGGGACCGAGAGGCCAAGGCGAGGCTGGAGGAGGAAGTTGCAGTGGGCTGGGGCACGATGGAGGAAATAGCCGAGGCGCCGAGCGAGAACGTGAAGGAGGGCTTGAGGGAAAGGGTAGTGGAAGCGATCGAGATTAAGAAGATGTTGGAGCAGAATACAGAGGAACTGGCCTCGCTCGTCAAGGGCTTGAACGGGGAGTACGTGCTTCCGGGCGTGGGGGGAGACCTCCTGAGGGACGGTCTAGGCGTGCTCCCAACCGGGAGGAACATCCACGCCCTCGATCCCTACCGCCTGCCGTCCCCAGGGGCTTGGGCGAGGGGCCAAGAGGCGGTACGAAAAATCCTGGCGCAGCACCAAGCGGCCGACGGCGGCTACCCGGAGACCGTGGCAGTGATGCTCTGGGGCCTGGACGCGATCAAGACCCGGGGCGAGAGCGTGGCGATCCTCCTGGCCTTGGTGGGGGCGAGGCCCGTGAAGGAGGCGACGGGGCGGGTGGTCCGGTACGAACTGGTGCCTTTGGCCGAGCTCGGCCGGCCTCGGATCGATGTGCTGGCGTCCTTGTCAGGAATTTTCCGGGACTCTTTCTCCAACGTGGTCGACTTGCTGGACGATCTCTTTGAGCGTGCGGCGACGGCGGAGGGCGAGAGTGAGGACATGAACTACATCAAGAAGCATGCGAACAAACTCAAAGAGCAAGGGGAGGATCGGCCGACGGCCAGGTTGTTCAGCAACCCCGCGGGCGACTACGGGAGCCTCGTCAACGAGCGGGTTGGAAATGGTGAGTGGGAGCAGGAGGAGGAGCTGGGGGAGACGTGGGCGAGTCGAAACGCCTACAGTTTTGGAAAAGGTGAGAGGGAAAACGGGGTGAAACGGGACGGGGTCTTGAAGGAGCTGCTGGGCACCACGGAGAGGATCGTGCAGGAGATCGATTCGGTCGAGTACGGCCTGTCAGACATCCAGGAGTACTACGCCAACACGGGTGAGTGGGCGGGAGGGAGGGAGGAAGGGAGGGAGGAACGTGGCATACGAAGAGTAGGAATGGTTAGATCCGAGCGTATGCGTCATTGATTTCACGGTGGGACGTGTACTCTTTCTACTACTCATGCCCCGCAATTCTCCCTCTTTGCCTTGTCTCCCTGGCTCTCAGGCGCGCTCAAGAAAGCCGCTGAAAATATCGCGAACGCCCCTGACCGGTCAGGTAAAAACACTGCCGCCCCTCCCAGAGCCCAGCCAGCGCCCTCGCAGGGCCGGGCGGATTCTGACCAGCAGGGAGGAAAGGGAGAAGAGAAGAAGAAAAGGGTAGTCAAAGTGTCAATCGTGGAGGCCTTCACCAAGGACGTGGCACCGCAGGAGCTGGAAGCGACCCTTCGGTTGGAATATCGAAGCAAGCTTCTGAATCCGAAGTGGGCGGAAGCAATGGCAGCACAAGGGTCAGGAGGAGCCTACGAGATCAGCCAGCGGATGACGGCGTTGGTAGGCTGGAGTAGCACGGCTGGCTTTCGGGATCAATGGGTCTACGACGGGGCGGTGGAGAGGTACGTATTGGACGAAAAGATGGCGCAAAAACTGATGGACAACAACCCAGAGGCGATGCGCAACGTGGTGAAGAGGATGTTGGAAGCGAATGGGAGGGGATACTGGGAGACAACGCCAGAGGTTCTGGAGCACTTGCGGGAAATGTACGCGGCAGCAGAGGATGAGATAGAGCTCAGCGGGGGCAAGGGGGTCCGGAAGAAGGTGCTAAGGGAGGACGGGGGAGAGAAGTCAGCACCAACGCCGCGGGAGGAGGTGAAGGTGGTTTCTGCGATGATGAAAAATCTGAAGGAGGAGAGAGCGCCCGTGGTGTCACGGTAGGAGGAGCGAGACTGGGCGGCGGGATTGGCGGCGGACGGGCTTAAGGAGCGCGCGGAGCTGGGGACGCGACTGCCGAAAGATACGTGGGTGAAAAAACAGGAAGAGCGCCGCCTGGTAGAGGTGCGATTTGTTTCAATAGTCGGTAGGATTAGTGTGCACATAGCTTGTAGGAGTACAAACAATTGGTCTGCTTGGAGGGGTGAAGATGCGTTGGGGAGTTCGTGGGTGAGTCTTTCCTGTATGTATGATTTCCGTTTTGCTTTTTGCCATCAAGCAAATGACGTCCAGTCCATGGTCAAGGACTGTTCCTGAACAATCAGACACATCACGTGGCCGAAAAGGGCATGCTGCAAAATTTTTTGGGCGTTTTTATCGCCTACGTGCCAATTGCAGGTTTGATGCACTAGGAGTACGACTCGCTCCTCTTGATTTGTTTGGGATTGGGTGCGTGTGCTCTTTAAGCTGCCCACAGGTTTAATCACGACGTAGAAGGGACGATGCGAGAATGCAATCCGCCTTATGCAAAAAGGTATCGTTCTGATGCCCCATTATCTTGAGTTAATGGGATAAGCTTCTGGTCGTTGTTCATCAGTCCTTCTCAATCCCGATTTATAGAAGATTTGTGCGGCTTGGAGTCGACGATAAGCACGGGCAGCAGTTGGATAGGTGCATGGGAAGGGGGGATGGACCGTATAAGAACACTTTTGAACGGAGAGAAATATCGTGTACGTCGCACACATCCTCTCTGTCTCTCATTTTTGGGTGCTTAACCTAACATGCTGATACATTTTTCTATGTCCTACTCTCCAAAATCCTATTGTTACACTGACGGCAAGCTTTACATCTTTGGCGTTGAGTAGTCCCTATTGACTCAACCAAATTATGACGCCTGTTTGACTTCGTCAAAGCAGCCTCAAGGACGAGACACCGATCGCCTTTTTGTGCAAATTCTCACCCCGAGGGATTGACTTGCCCACCTCCCCATGCATCCTAACCCCACCCCCCACCCCTCCTTCCCCTCCTTCACCTAACCTCTTCCTCCTCTCATATTCTTCTCCTCTTTCTCTTCCTGCCTGTCCTCCACTTTCCTCTCATCCCGCCGCCATTCAAAAATCTCTGGGAACGGACCCGCAAACCAAGCCATCACTATATGCATTGCACGCAGCCTGTCCCTGCCACCTTCTCTCCCACACTGCTTGCTCCCTGTTCCTCTTTGAACGCCGACTCCTTTGCGAGCTCTCTGCCTCCCCCCAAATCTATCAAAAGCCTTCGACCGTCAGGCCTTTTCCAGCACGGGCTGAAGCATCGCCATTCAGGCGTAAAACCGGCGTGCCCATCGAGTCTTCCTCGTCATCTGACCCAGGCCCTCCCCCTCCGCCCTCCTCCACCTGCACCTCCTCCTCCTCCTCCACGCCATCAGGAAGCATGCCGTGTGACGGCCCATTGATTTCTTCCGTTCCTCCTTCCTTCCTGTCCATCTCCATCGCCACCGCCACCCTCTTTCCAATCGACACCGCCTGTTCCTCGACTACACCCGCCGAAACCTCCTCATCCTCCACCCCTCCCTTCACGGGACGCAGTGCCCTTCCTTTGTTCGCTTTCGCGCCATTGCCGTTGCCTTCCAGCCCTCCCCCTCCCCTCAGCCCCTCATTTCGGTCATCGAGGCCACCTTCGTGGCCCAGCGTCACTCCCGGCGTCGGCGCCGGAGAGAAAGGAGGGAGGGGGGGAGGGGGAGGAGGGGGGGGAGGACGAGGCAGCAGAAGGCAGCTGGTTACGGACGGGAGGGTGGGAAGGAGACAAGGATGCTAAGAACGTCCCGTGAAAGCCTTGCTCTGGCCTATAGGACTTCCTACCCTTCGACTCCTCCCCCTCGCCCCCTCTCCGTTCTCTACCACAACCCCGAAGGCCGCCGGATCCTCCCCAGCCTCCCCCTCCCCCTCCCCCTCCCCCCCTCCAAGTCAGCCGTCTCCCACACGCTCAAACCCTCCTCCGCCGCCTCCACGCGGGCGTACACGACCCCGTTCTTCCTCACGCCCGCCTCCCCCAGTGTCATCCTGCCCTCGGAGAGCTCCCTCCCCTCCCAGATCAAGGAGATGCTCACCGCGTCCTCCCCCGCCGACAGCACTTCCCACACCCGCAGCTTCAAAGTCTGCACGTCGTCCGTGCTGCTCACGCCCTCCAGCACCTTTGTCTCCTTTCTTCGGCCCCTGCCCCGGCTTCCGCGCGTGCGGCGGAGCGCCGTGCGAGGAACCACCCCCTCCTCTCTCCCCACGGCCACCCCGTTGCCCGTCGAGGTCAAACCGGAGGGCGGGAGGGAGGGCGGGAGGGAGGAAGGCGCATCCGGCGGCTCCTCCCCGTTCTTCAACACCACCACCTTCAGCGGCTGGTTCCGATAGGTAATGCGGGCACGCTCCCGCGCGGCTTCCCTTTCCGCCTGGCAAACGGAGCACACGAGTGGCGAAAACGTCGCCCCTACCACCCACCCTCCCTCCCTCCCTCCTTCCCTCTCGACCTCGCACACCTCTCTTCGCAAGATCACGGTCGCCTCCTGCGCTTTCTGCCGCTCTTCCGGCGCGTAGCTCTCCAATAGCCTCTCCCACTCTGTCGGCGTGACTAGATCCGCCTCCCCCTCTTCCCCCTCCCTCTCCTCCTCCCCTCCCTCCCCTCCCTCCCTCCCGCCCTCGTCCTTCGTCATTTCTCCCGTCTTGAGCAGGTCGGCCAGGAAGAAAGGGAGCTTCAAGAGGCCGTGCACGCATCGCACCCCTCGCTCTTTATCGGGCACGGGCGGTTTCGGCTTCTCCTTGTAATCCCGCACGTACTCCCGCCAGGCTCGCAGCCAACCACGACCCAGTATCATGAATTTCCCCTCCCCCTCCTTCCCCCTCCCTCCCAGCGGGCAAGCCCCTTCCACCAGCCTCCGCAATGCGGGCGGGTACGCCGTCTTCCGCCGGGCGAGCTCCCGCAGTTCCTTGCACTTGACCTCTGCGTCTCGCGCCACTTTCTTCATCATGTTCACCTCCGCAAGGCTCTGCTTGCTCTCCTGGCACCGAGGGCAGGGGGGCGTGCCTTCCGAAAAGGAAATCGCGCCTGGGAAGAGCGTGGTGAACAGGGACCAGGCGGCGCGGGGAAGGAGACGAGCCGACTTGCGGGCGTGGGGGAGGAGGTTGCCGTGGGGGCAGCGGAGGCGGCTGTTGATGGTGGGATCCAGGCCTTGCCGAGCTAGGGCCCCAGAGCCGCCCGCCCTCCCTCCCTCCTCCTGCCGCTCCTCCTCCTCCCCGTTGGTCTCCTTCCCTCCTTCCTCCTCCCCCGCGCCTTTACTCTCTCCCTCCTCCTCCTTCCCCTCCTCCATCCTTTGCCCTTCCCCCTTCCCCTCCTTCACCCCTTGCCCCCCTCCCTCCCCTCCTCCTCGCCCCCCCCCCTCCGTCTCCTCCCCCATCCCTTCCCTTTCCGTCAGTGCCATCAGCGGCCACAAAGCCTCCTCCGCAGACACCACCCCCCCTCCCCTCCCTCGTCCCCCTCCTCCCTTGGCCGCACCCCCGCCCAGCAATTTGACCGCTCGCTCCCATTCCTTCTTAAACAGCGCCTCCCACCTCTTCGACATCAAGTAGCCGTCCTCCCCCTCCTTTCCCTCCTTCCCTCCCTCCCCCCCACCCAGGGCCCGCACGGCCTCATCCAGCAACCTCGCCCTCTGAGCCCGCTCCTCCTGCTCCTCCGCAAACCTGGCCACGCACTCCCCACACCCAAACCCCCCTTCCTCCGCCCCTCCCTCCCCCCTGCCTTCGAAATGGTAGGTAGGCGGGCTTCGGAGGGAAGCTAGAAGCTTGTCGTACACAGGGCCACGCACGACCTTGAGCAGAGGAACCGCCGCCGGGCTCAGCTTCCAGAGGCCGTCCGGGCGGGAGTGGGGGCAGCAGTAGGGCTGGAGGGTTGGCGGGTCTGAGAAGAGGAGGGGGCCGGTCCTCCCTTCCCTCCGCCAGGGCAGGACCCAGCCTGGAGGCGGCGGGGGCCGGGCACCCCTCGCCTCCCTCCCTTCCCTCCTCCTCCCCCTCCCTCCCTGCCTCGCCCCCGCCCTCCCCTCGGTCCACGCCTAGTATCCAACTCCGCAGCCACGACGTCGGCAGGAAGTAATAGGGCTCTCCCTCCCTCACCCATGACACCGGGCCCAGAGAGCCGCCCTCGCCCTCGCCCTCCCTCCCGCCCTCTCCCCCTCCTTCGAAAAGCGCCTCGTACAGGGCTTTTCGTCCTCGCACCTCCCCCTCCCACCTCTCCTTGCGCTCCCTGTATCGATCCCGCATCTGCTGCAGCCGCCTGTTCGCCTCCCGCACCTCTTCTCGCACCGCCTCCGGCAACAGGCCCTCCAGCACCTCCTCCGTCGGCTCTGGGTACCCTCGCCGCAGGTAGATGAGGCAGTAGGCATCCGCAGAGCCCCTCTTCCGCCCCCCCTCCTCCCCTCCCTTGCCTCCCTCGTCTTCTCCCCTCCCCCTTCGGCCCTTTTTGGAGCTTCCACCGGCGCGCGACTTCTCATTGCCGTCCTCCTCCTCGTCATCCTCCTCACCGTCAACCTCCACATGATCATCCTCTTCCTCTTCCTCCCTCTCCTTCTTTTTTCTTGGCCTCCCCCTCTTCTTCACTCCTCCACTTCTCGCGATTTTTTTCTTCTCCTCTTCTCTCTTTGCGTCCTCCTCCTTGTCCTGTACCTCCTCCTCTTTCTCTTCATCCCTTTCTTCCGCTCCCTCCTCATCAGACACCAGGGAGATCACAGAGCTTCTCTCCCCGTCATTGTCCTCGGTCCTTCTTCTCTTTCGCCCCTCTTTCCCACCTTCCTTCTTTCCGCCCTCCTTCCTCATCAGCAACTTCTCCCACCTTCCATCTTTCCGCCCTCCTTCCTTATCGACACCTCTTTCCCACCTTCCTTCTTTCCGCCCTCCTTCCTCATCGACACCTCTTCCCCACCTTCCTTCATTCCGCCCTCCTTCCTCATCAATACCTCTTCCCCACCTTCCTTCATTCCGCCCTCCTTCCTCATCAGCAACTTCTCCCACCTTCCTTCTTTCCGCCCTCCTCCCTCATCAACACCTCTTCCCCACCTTCCTTCTTTCCGCCCTCCTTCCTCATCAACACCTGCGCATGTCTGCCTTCTCGGACCTCCGTGTCATCCAGGTACCACCATCTCCCCGACGACACCTCCCGGAATTCTGCCGTGTAATGACCGTGCGAGGCCGAGCCGCCCTTGTGGAACATGACGCCCACCAGGTCGTACACCCCTGGAGGTAGGGAGGGAGGAAGGAAGCGAAGGGAAGGAGGGGATTCAGGAAGGGAAGGGCATCCAGAGCGTCGCAGAGAAGGAGGGGGGAGCTCGGTAGATAGGAAGGCAGGAGGGACAGAGCGGGGAGGGGAAGAGAGCCACACGTACCTGGGGCGCCCGCCTCCCCGACATGGCTGCTGTCCCGCCCTCCGCCGCTCCCTCCGTCCGCCCCTCCCCGAGCCGCCGGCCCCAGGTCCAGGGTCTCATCGAGGGCCACAATCTGCTTCACCTTCCGCTTCTCCCCGCCCACGTACACGTAGCGGAGGAGCTGCACGGTGAGCAGGGGGGGCAGGGCCGTCAGTATCACCCGGCGCTCGGCCTCCCGCTTCTCTCCGCATCGGCCGCAGAGGTAGCGGTTCTCCCCCTCCAGGCGCTCCGGGGCCAGGTACCGGGCGACGCCGGCGGCTACGGTGGCGGGGAAGGACGGAGAAGGGAGGAGGGAGAGTTCGAGCTCGTCGAAGGGGCCCTCCCGGCGGGAGGCGGTCCCGCAGCTCAGACAGGTGGTCAGGTACAGGAGGCGACCCCGGTGTAGGCTCCGCACCATGGAGGCCAGGTCCGGGGAGGGGGACGAGGGAGGGGAGGAGGAGGAGAGGGCGCCGAAGCACTCCTCGATCTTGCCCAGGAAGAGACGGCGGAACTCCTGGGGGTCTTGCTGCTGGCCCCGGTCTAGGCGGAGGAGCCGGACGAACTCGCGAGGGTCTCCCTCCCGGGCCATCCCCAGCTGCATGTGGGCGAAGAGGCGCTGCAGCTCTTGGAGGATCAGGACCATCCGTTCCTTCCTTCCCCCATCCTCCCCGGGGCGGGGGCCTGAGGGGGGTCGGAATTCATACACGGCCTGGCGGAAGCGCCGGTTGAAGAAGAGGGCTTGCAGCAGCACGTTCAGGTAGCAGGTAGCCCCCAGGTTCCGCAGGCCCACCGGCGTCTTCAAGTACGCCTCTGCCGGCCCTCCCGCCTCCTGTGCCTTTGTCAGGACCTGCTCTCTTCCTTCCCTCCCCATCCCGTCGGCACCGGCTTGCTCCGCGCCGACGGCCCGGTAATCCCACTCGAGGCTCTTGGCTCCTCCCGTGGACCCGCCTTCCGCCGACACCGACGTCCGCGCCCGCTTCCTTGTCCCCCCACCTTTGCCACTTTCCCCCCTCTCTTCCCTCTCTTTCTCAGCCCCCGCCTCCCCTCCTCCCCCTCCACAGTCCTTCCTTCCCATGGAGGCCCCCGACTGCCTCCATGTCTCCGTCTTTCCTGCCTTCCCCCCCCCTTCTGTCCCTCCCTTGTACACCGACCGCACTGGAGGCTTCCATCCCCGAATCAGCATCGCAGGATCCTCTCCCAACGACTGGACCAAGAGGCTCTTGCTCGTCGACCAGATCCCCTCTTTCTTCCCCTTCAGGCCGTACACACAGTGCGGATTGGCGGCGCAATTTCCCGTTCCTCCCGTCCCATGGTCGGCCGACGTACAGCGAGGGTAGTTCTCCAAATTTCCGGCCCGATACGGAAAACGAAGGGAAAATTGCTTCCTTACAAGAGCCTCGAGTACAGTCTGAGGGTCCGCCCCGGCACTGCCGCGAGCCACAGTCCGAGAGCGGCGGGAGCGAGAGCTGCTCATTGGCGTTGTCACAATAAGTGAGACGGAGAGGGTTGACTGCGGCAGATATTGCTCGGTTCAAGGCTGGCACCTTGATGGTATCAGTCCTGAAAAATAGCGTTGAGGAGGCCGGCAGGGTTGTGCGGAGGGCGTGTAATTCAATCGAGGAGGCCTCGACTTCACCTCCCTTCTCCTCTCCCTCCTACTACTGCCACTGCGTCAAATTATGAGAATGGCTGCAATGGAAGATGAAAAAAACCAAAAAGGTGAGTGCAAGCGCGGGTCTAGACGCGTACCTCGGCCTTGGGACGGAATAGAGTGCTTGACTCTGAGGTAAAGGAGCGAAGGCGGTTAGCGAGAGGGAAGGCTGGTATTACCTGGTGGACAGCCCCCACGACAACCATACCGCGGTGGGATGTTGAAAATACTGCTCATGTCGAGCGTTGTATGACCTATGATTTTTCTTTTGCTCTGTTCATGACGCTGCACTTTAATGTCGGAACGATGGTCTTGCGGTACGCTCCTTCTTTTTAGTTTGTAACCTCCTGACCCCCTTGGCATACTGTTTGACCCCAAAAGCATACCTTAATTAGAAGTAAATCTTATCTTTTCCACAAAAAATCCATCGAAATCACCGTTGCTTTACATTTACATTGCTGTACTTGCCATTGCGCATTGAATCCTTCCACAAAATTTTAACGCATAATTCAGGGCGACTTCATTTCTCCCCGTCCGCTTCCCTCCCTATCGGCTGCGCGAAGACGTAGCCAAATTTTCAATGCTTTCTTATGCCCCTGCAATAAGGTAGATCCTAGATTCATTTCCACCTCGTCATAGGACGCCGTGCCTAACTGAGCTCCCGTGTGGACGTTCATCCCCCGCAAGCCCTCCGCGTAACGCATCGCGAGATCGTCTGAGACGCTCAACAGGTGTTTGAGGTATTCGCCCACAGGAAGATGAAGTGGTGGCTCAGGGATCTTACCACTTTCGTCCACTGTGTCTATCATCGCATTCAAGGCCTTAATAAGCCGCTTTCTATCCTGGCGATCAGGCACGTATTTGCCAAGGCTAAGTTTGAAGCGTTCGGAAGCGATAGCGCGCAGGGCCATGAGATTATCGTAGCCATGGCGACGGAGGTTATCCAAGTAGACCTCGCTTGCATCGGGAGGAATGCTGGATGCGCGGAAAACGCAGAGGAGTTGATGTTCAACGGCTGTGGGTAGAAGGGAGGAAGGTACGGAGGGTGAGATGGGGCGTGCGTAAAGCAAGAGCTGCTTCCATTGACCATGCCTGCGTGTGCAGCTTGCAACCACTAAAGTGAATGCCATACACGTATTTGCCCTGCCACCGCCCTCTGGCCATAATCTCACGTACGTTGGGGAATATCGTCCTCTTCGCCATCGCCGGCGTCCTCCACCGCCTCCCCACAGAGCCGCGCCATGCACTCCCACACGCACGTGATGCCTGAACCCTTCTTCTTGGAGACTTCCTGGCTATCATGGCTGTGCAGCGTTCCTCCCTCGGTCAGGGCCCTTGCATGCTGCTGCGCCTCCTGCAGGCATCGCTCAATCTCACCCCCCTTGCTCTGCACTGAGACGCTCCTGGACTTTTCTTGAAGCAGGAGCTGGAGAGGATCTAAGCCTTCCTTATCCACCACCAAAGGATTGGCGCCTTTTCCCAACAAAAATCGAAGCACTTGCAGGTTCCCCCGGCTTGCGGCATAATGCACTGCAGTCCGGCCCTCCACGTCCTCCCAATCCAAATGCTGCGGCCTCCCACCTTCCTGATCGAGCCCCAACAAGCAAAGCGCCACACCGGGCGCATCCGAGGTTCCCCTGGCGAGATGGTGCAGGGCCGTGCGTCTCGCACCGTCTGTGGCCCACACGTCTGCCCGCCCAGAAAGCGCGCGCAGTAAGTATCGCACTGTTTCTTCTTGCCCAGCCCCCGCCGCCAGCATCAACGGCGTCGCGTTATCATTGCCGGGCGTGGAAACCAAGGTAGGGTTCTGGGTGAGAAGCGTTTGGAGAAGGGGCAGGTCTCCCTGCCGGGCGGCTTCGTGCACGGCGCTGTCCGAGGGTGACGTGTAGCCCAAGAGGCCCCAAAGTCCATCGGCGGGTTTTGGCGAGCGCGCAGTATTGGGGGGCGTGCCTGTCAGGTTCCGCAAACTGTGGAGCCTAGGACTGCCTCTGCTGCCGCGGGCAGGGCTCCGGGAGCTGAGAGGGAATTTGTAGGAGGGAGAGCTTGGAGAGGAGGAGATAGGGGAAGTGGGCTGGGATACAAAACCAGCTCCAGCAGGCGCACTTCCCGCGCGCAAAGGACTTGTTGTGTTGCGGATACATCCAAGACCAGCGACTTTCTTGCGGCCGGGGGACAGAGAGCTGAGCGCGGAGAAGTCGAGTAGGCCCCGCTTCTCTCGGGGAGATTCTGGAGAAAGGGGAGGGGCAAGGCTGGTAAATGCCGCAGGGATCTTGCGGGGGCTACTGCTGATGTTATTATTTTGTCCGTCAAGTCCGTTGCGTGGGCTGTTCTTCGTGGCTTGACTCGTTCTAGCCCCGGCTATCAGGATCTCCTTGATATCAGCCGTCAGATCCAGGGCGCTCTCGCTGTTAGAGGTGGAAGACAGAGCCTCTTCCCTCGCTGCCTCGTCTGCCTTCCCTCCAAGTCGTCGAGGAGAAGCAAAGGACGTAATTTTTTTCATATTCTCCTGTCTAAGATTGATCGATATGGTCGTGTATGTGTGAGCTTGCATGTGTTATCATGTACACTAAGAATAAAAACACAAACAAGGAACTCCGCTCCTCTGTGAGTGACAGCATATTTTTCACAGTGATAGCCGTACAAAATAGTTTTGAGACTAGGCATACAGGACGATTTGTATTGCAATGCTTCCTTCGATGCACTGCGCGTGGAGATTATTCTCTTTTCGAAGAACAAATGGCTTGACCCTGCTTCTTCGGCACCGCAAAGATTCCTTCCCTATAGTTACATCTTACATTAACACGACCTCGTTGACTACACAGCTTGAGACCCTTGCATCATGGCTGCAACTGTTCGTAGCGACAAAGTAAGGTCAGCAGCGTGAGGCGACGCTCGTGTTCTCTTGTCGCAACGCTCGCGATCCACACGACGGCCCTTTCGAGCGCCCGCCGCGATGCCTCAAGCCCCCACGACTCCGCGTGCACATTAAAAGCAATCGATACATCAAACGCATAAATCAGTTGAAACCGCGCAGGGCATAACGCGGTCAGAGTGCTCCATTCCAGGATGGTAGCGGCTGTCCCCCCAAAGGGACCAGAAACGGTCGGGCAGACGTTAACTTCCATTCAAAAGTCAAGAATCTCGAGGTGAGCTCAGAGCACACCGACCACGACTAGTTGGCGGCCACGGGCCCTCTCGTCCACACTTACCAAACCATGCAGGGTAGAAGTAGAGCCATTCTTTTGCACGTGATCTATGAACCTTGATCATTCTTGAAGTTTTTGTACCTCTGCAACAATATCACCGAGTCGTTCCGTGGGGGCTGTCTTCTTCCTTCGATGACGGTAGTCGTCTTCCGTAGCCCCACTAATCTGGTCATTTTTCAATCCCGATCTCTTTCTGCTTCAACGTTTGGAATTAGACTTGTGCTTGAAGCGTGCCAAGAAACAAGCTTGACATGAGTATCAGCACAAATCCCGTCGGGAAAGTATGGGTGGAGAACATGTTTCTGTGGCTTGCCCCGCTCCTTCTCTTCATCTATAAGGTATGTGCTGTGCACTCTACTAAGTATAGTTTTTCCTTTCGTTGCACCCCATCGTATCATGTAATTCATCCCTGATGCTTGTAATGGATAATGGATTTAACATGTAATAGGACATTTTTGTCTGTTTCAATTGACATTTTTCTGCTGATGATCGTCCAAACCCTCCGTCCTCTGCCTTGCACTCGTTTTGGAACAGATGCTGTACGAATACCTTCCTCCTCCTGCCTTCATCGCATGCCTCGTAATTCCCGCCTTATACGTCTACCGCGTAACAAAGGAGCTCAGTCCCGTGGAAGCTGCTGATGAGATGAGCGCTAAGGAACGGATGGCGGAAGAGATGCTTGAGGAGCTCACGAAGGAGGAGGAGGTGAATGAGAGTAAAAAGAAGGTAAATGCTTGCAAATCCAAAAAAAACATGTCGGATCACATAATCTCGTATCATTCTGACTTAAAGGACTTTCCCGCCTATATCCCCACAGAAAGATAAAAACGATGGGAAGCACAAGAAGAAGCTGCAAGGAGGAGGGGGAAAGTCTGCAACGAGCGCGGGCGGAACATCGAAAGGAAAGCGTCAATCTACCGGAGGAGATGAAGATGACGAGGATGACATGCTCACTCGCATGGCCCAGCAACGGGCGAAGAAGGCAGTGAGATAATCGAGGCAACGAGCCGTTGCGGATTCGCGAGGAATCTCCATGGATCTTACCGCGTCGTTTCAAATCTCACGCTGGCGGGTAGCAAACCAACGATCTTTTCAAGTAGATTAAAACGAGCATGCAAGCATGCTCTGCTTGTGCAAGCGGGCTCTTCATTTGTCAATATTTTTATCCTCTTCAGTCTCATCAATCTCAGAGTTTTTTTTTGCCTGATGGCTCGCAGCTTGCATCTCGCATGCTCCACGAATTCGAGGCCTTCAGTTTTGAGTGCATGGCGTCGGCTCGCGAAGACCGGGCCCACTCCTTCACTGCTCACCCACCCTCCCGCCTCCTCAATCTCCGCGACTCTACCTTCAGTCCAGGGCGATTCCCACGCCTTTATCCCCTGCCCGCCCCCACGGAAGAGCCCTCTTCCTCGTCTCCCATCCTCCCCCCCTCGAAAACTATCTCCCAGCCCCGCGGATATAACGGTAGAGCAACAGGGCAGCTATCCCTGAGGCCAGAGTCCAGCGCCAAGAGGAAGAGGAAGCTCCGGGGGGTGCATATTGCTTCACGTCTCCGAACTGCAGACCCAAGGCCAGGCCGTAGAGGCGGGCATCGATCTCAAAGCCCTGCTCCCGGAAGCCTTCGACCTCGTTCAATAGTCTGGTGGGGTAAAGAGGTCAAGATTGCAGGGTCTATGAGTGTGAATCTTCTCTCCCAGAGTGGGAAGGCATTTGGCAGGAAGGTCCGGCAAAAGCAGCCCTATGTATGCATGCACCCAGAACCCTGGCTGGACATAGGCGTGCGCCTCTTTCCCCATTGCCCTTACCGCCCGAACCAGCGCGAGCTAGCAGCCCCGTATCTGAAAACACATTGCCTACTGATCGATACGCAGACATGACAGCCTCCCCAAAGATGACCACCCTTGTACGGTAAGCTTCAAGACCCCCGCAACAAGCGCAAAAGACAATCCACACCTGACCTAAAGCGACGCCCGTACCTCTTCACCGGCACCCGGTGGACGGTGATGATCTCATCCTCGTCTGGCATGGCTACGGGCTGCTGGTTGCTCCCTAAGTCGCCGTCGATCCGCATGAACACGTAGCGCATCGAAGCGTTGCTCAATCCTGGGTCCGAGTACACTATTGGGGACACATGCGTGACCATACCCTCGAATCCGGTTTCTTCCCGGAGCTCGCGAATGGCGGAGGTCGTTTCGTCCTGGAGGGAGAACGTGGAGGGGCCAGGGAACATTGCGGTGAGCGAGCATGCAAAGACGGTCTCTTAGATCTCTCTTTCGGGCATTGCCGCTATATAGATCCGCGTGTTGCTATTCAAATCCCATGAGGCTATCGTTATCCTCCAAAATCCCTACCTCCCCGTCGTCCACAAGCCCCGCTGGCAGCTCCAGCACCTCCTTTCCCACAGGGGGTCGAAACTGTGAGACTTGGGGGGGGTTGGGAGAGGGATGAGTTCGGAGGCAAGGAAATGGTGCAAATATATGAGAGAAGCCTTTCTTAATCGTCCTTTGATCCCGCAGCCACAGATTAAATCCAGCTTGCTGCCAAGAGACACTCGGCTATCTACTCATACCTAAAACAATGTGATCGTTATCCTTCGCAAATGAGGTTGAGATGATCGCGACGATACCAACCCCGTTCGCAGGTGGGGGGCCCTCTGAGGCAGTGCGGCGTTGGATCCGCTCCGCCATTTCCCACGTCCGCTTGCGGCCTCTGGCGTCGCAATACTGAAGCCGTTTCAAGGACACCCACCGAAAGCCGGGGGCGGAATGGTCCTCTGTTTTTATCACGTACGCCATGCTTTCCACCCCCACGCAGAATTCGGAGTAGCTTCTAGCCTCGCAGAGCCCTGCGTTGCTCGCAGTAGCGGGTACAGTCCTGTGCTTTGTGCAATAAAGCAGGCTCCCAAGCCTCTCCTTTCCTCTTCCGCCTCTGACGGACAGGGAGACACAAAGGAAATGGTCGCGACGAAAGGCAGATACTTATCGTAAAATATCTTTAACCTGTTTAAAACGAAAGGATTTGTCTGCATAAGATTTCTTTTTGATTTGTCGTTTTGCGTGATGTGACAAGATAAAAAGTTGGGGGCCGGGGTACAGGTGCTGCCATAGGTGTTGTCAACGATCTTGAGGGAAGCATCTGCCACAGGGACGTAATGTCCGTCCATATTCTGCTCTTAGACATGTTTCATGCACGTACGAGCCGTCGAACCTACTGACGGGAAAACCCATGTGCTGTGTAGGCAGGGGGTAACGTGCTTGCGTACCAACGGCCGCCTAGCGACGGGGAGACTCGGGGCGGGTTCAAGCTTGAGCCAGGCCGAAGTCCGGCGAGTGCACCCTACACGCAACACCTGATGCATTGCAGGGTATACTTGGCGCTCACATTTCCTTGTTATTCATTCCGTGTCCGTAAGTGGACTGGGAGGATGGGAATGCCCGGCGTTGCATCCATCTCCTCCAGGCCATGGCTGATACCCACCCCATCGGTAGTATCCTTGGATGCCCGACATGCTCACCTCTTTTACACGCACATTCGCCCTCATTCACGGTGTGTATGTACCTATACAGGATTTTTATCTTGTATTTATTTTAGTGCAATATTTCTCTGGAGTCATGGCCATCCAAGATGAGAGTTTTCTACGGCGACGGCTGGCGGAGAATAATGCCTATTTCAGCCGCATGGTTAACTTGGTTCCTGCGGAGCTGTACTTACCCAAAGACGACAACAACGACGGCGAGGCTAATGCGAAATATTTTAAGGTACGCTTCAACAATTCTGAGTGTGGTATGCATTTTATCGTTCGCTGGACCGAGTGAGGAGCGATTGGCGTGGCCGATGAGAGAGCTTGAAAATGTGAATCACGTTTGGTAGAATTGAGACGTATCCAGCAATTTGTGGTGGCAAGAATTAATAGTAGAAAGACTTGCTCCTGATGCTCGTGGATGTGATTGCTGGGTCGTAGCATGGAACATCGGAGGCCAACAGAGTCAGAACTGTCGCCTCCTCTATTGTATGAAGGTGGGAGGGAACATGCTTTTCGTCGATCGTTCCCTTCATACGAATGAAATATCCATTTGCTATTGCTCTGTTACTATGAACGTTCCATATTCAGAACAAGCGGCAAGCTGCACCCAAGCAATTGAAAAAGGAGGAATCGAAACGAGGGAAGAAGATGAAATTTGATCCTGCCAACATGAAGACGGTGACGGAGCTTCAGACAGAGAGGGCGGCTAAAGAGAAGGAAGAGAAGGAGCGAAGTAAAAGGATGCGAGAAGATGCAAATGAGGTGGGGGAGGGGGAGGTGGAGGACAGTGAGGATGAAAACGATGGTGACAGTGACGGAGTTTTGGAGGAGAGCGAGGAGGAGGGAGAGGAGGAAGAGGAAGAGGAGGAGGAGGACGACGATGCTGGCGATCAAAAACATGAGAAGGGAGGGACTTTGCCGAAGGAAGCAAGGGATACTTCAAAAGGAGGAGGCATCGAAGAGGAAAAGGCGGAAGAAATCGGTGGCGGGGGTCTTCATATCGCGGCCAACAATTTCAAAAAAGCGAAGGAATCGGGCCAGGGGTCGACGACCCGTGGGCCTCTGTCTTTGGTCGGTACCACACCACGGGCTAAGTCTATCGAGGAGCTCCGAGAACGTCTGCGGGTAAGGAGGGAGGGAAGGGGGGAGGAGGATTGACGTATTAGGGGCCCTGAGCAAGGGGCGGTTGCTTTTATTGTGTGATAAAAGCGCGTTCACTCACCTTTTTTCAATTTCAACTTTGTAGCTCAAAATTGAGGAGGCGCGGGCAAAACGCGGAGGCGTCAGTGAAGGTGGAAACCGTCGAAGTGCCAAGAACAGCAGAGCTGCGGCAGCTGCTGCCAATTTGAACCAGAACAAGCGAAAGAAAGGGCAGCTCGCGTCGCTTCCTTCCTCCTCTCCGACAACCTCACCTGCTGCTGCAGCAGTAGCGGTTGGTCTGAGCAGTGGGAGCAGTCATCAAAATGACGCCTCTGTAGATATTCAGTTTGGTAAGATTGCCGTTCCTACTCCAGTAGCTTCTCGGAACTTGAAAAAGGGTGGTAAGAACCTTGTGGGGTTGCTGAAGAAGGCTGAGGAGAAGGAGAAACGCTTGAAGGAGTTGCAGGCGACCGAGGGAGGAAAAGAAGAGGCATCCGCATTACTCTGGAAGGATGCATTGAAAAGCGCGCACGGAGAAAAGATCCTGGATAATCCAAAGCTGTTAAAGAAGGCGATCAAGAAGAAGGAAAAAGCCAAGGCAAAAAGTAAAGAGAAATGGGGAGATAGGACCGCAAAAATTGAAGCGGCAGAGAGGGAAAAACAAGGAAGACGAGAGGCCAATTTGAAGAAAAGAAAGTTGGGAGGTGTTGAAGGCTGTCTAGCTGGGTCCAAGGCGGAGAAGGACAACAAAGAGAAGAGCGGGGGACGGCAAGGTCGGGCAGGCTTTGAAGGAAAAAGGGCAGAATTTTTAAATAAAGGTGCTGGGAAGAAGAGGAATGAGCAATTTGATGATGAAACGCATTTCAATAAAAAAAAGAGGCCGGTGGTGGAAGTGCAAGCAGAAAGGGACAAGCATTGAACAGCGGTGGAGCTGGAAAAGGTCATAACCATCATCAGTAGAAAGAATGCGTGTTGGTCGTACAGGACAAAGTAACTCAGAAACAATTATTTATTAAACGGGAAAAAGTTCGCTTGCGTCTTGTATATCCATCTTGTTCAAATTAATTCTCCTGTGTCCTACCTGTCAAGATGGTGCGGTGCAGCGTAAAAGACTTAACGGTATGGTTAGGGAGGGTTTGAAATTTTGAACGTTCCCCGACGCTTCCGTTTGCTTCGCCCGTTAAGCTCACGGATCCAACCGTCAATCGCATTTGGCCCGTGTGGTCCCTCAAGAATCTGGTCTCCAAGGAATTAGCAAACATAGATGTCATTTCAAGTGTAGTCATGCGCATTTGCACAATTGATTTGTCCTTAAAAAGTCTATTAGGCCTTGTTGCGATCGAATGTGAGGTAGGGCTCAGGCCGGTTCAGTATTTTTCTTTACTTGCATTTATACTCAATTCACCAATCACTTATGATGGTATAATCGGTACGAACATTAAACACCTCAAAGTCCCACCTGATTTCCCCACTTTTGCTTCAGGGTGTCCGACAAGGCGAGTATTCACCAGAAAACCGACAATGTGGCCTTTCTCTGTCAACAGCAAATTGTGCGGAGTCACCCGTCGGTGCCTCATCATTGGTATCGCTTCCGTGCTATTGCCTGTCATTGTAATCGCATCTCTAGTAGGCGTCTACTATCCTAAGGGTGAGTTTAAGTGAAGGGTTCGAAGGAAAAAAGGAGATGAGTGCAGGGGAGGACTCAGGCTACAACATGGCGGTATAAAAAAACGCTTGCTTGGCGTGCTCGATGCTCATCTGTTATCGTTTTTCCCAAATTGTACAATAGTACACGAAGCAACTCTCTCATTTCTGATGGATCTTCAATCAACCTCACAGCCCCAGAGATCCGAGCAACAACAACTGAGATTAATTCTCTCAAGATAAATGGCATGGAATCCGTCTCAGTAGATGCCGACGTTGATCTCGAAATTGTGAACAAAAATAAAAATTATCCGATTGCCTTTGATCCTGTTGAATTAGATTTCTATTTTCCATCGAGTCCTGAATCTCGGGTGGGTACAGGAGTGCTGGAGGGTGGCGTGATCCCTGGAGGCGAGACGACCACGCGTAAGCTGCATGCAGTCTTCGATGCGCCCTGGAGTATGCTTGGTAAGTATGACTCATAACGTAGGCTTCAAGAGATCCCATGGGTGGGCAAGAATAAGATATAAGACTGGTATATTTGTTATTACTTAGATAAAAGCATGTCTGCTCAAATCATCCCGTTCATATATAATGCTTTTTTTCATGACCTAAACGATAGGGGCCAGTTTTCTTCGTAACATGAATCAAGGGGCCACCACTTTGTTGGTAAAGGGGCATGTATTAGGATTCTCCACAATTCTGAAAAGCGATTTCCGTTTGTCATCCGAGCTAGAATGTATCCTCAGCTACACATGGGACGATCAAAAAACACACAAGGACTGTCATAGCACAAAAAAAGTCAGTCTTGCTAGGTCAAAATAAACTGAGACCGTTGATACTACCTGAACCATCAAGAAGTCGACATGATGTATATCTCTTCTTCCGGTCAGCCGCCAGAAAAAAGATTTCAACATTAAGCCAAAAATGTACAAAAGAACACATCGGTATGATTTTATGCGTAGTACCTCATTCTTTCCATGTTTTACTTGCCCGTAGAGCCGGAAAACCCATAAATATCGAGGGCATCATTCTTCATAAATGAAGCATCGACGGGGACCAAAAGGGAACATGATTGCGAGGAGGTTAAATACCTTCGATGGTCTTCGTCTCTACACGATCTCACGACAGGATCGTGTCGCGAGTCTTTCGTGTTTATTCCTCATCCAGCGGAACGATATACTGATAAATATTCTGAGCAATGTGACCCTCATTCAAATGTTCTTTGCTAGCAACAACGGTTTAAAATTCCTTCGTTCATGGCCCATTATGACTCAAGTATTTTTCTCGTATTCCTTTCCACGTCCAATGCACAGTCCTCCCTTGAGGAGCCGATGCGATCGAAATACACACGAAAATACTTTTTAGGCGCTGGAGCACTTGGTCGGCTATATTTGGTGATTTTACCCGCCGTGAGTTCTTTCATCCATGCCTATCACTCTGCGGACGGCAGCAGCCATGTCTGTCGGATGATACACCTCGACGAAACACGATTCCCGGTTCTTGCACCAGAAGCGGAACCAGCTAAGAATCGTACTTTGCCGAGTGTCACGTTATCGGACACCATAAATTTAATCCCCTTGTTGGAGCGAGATGCAGAGACAGGTCTTGTCTCTTTCGGGCCACACGCTACCCTTCGTTTTGACGCGTGGATCTCCTCCTCGTCAACAAGCGAGCCGTGCACACCTTCAAGTCTTGTTCTCAAAGCCACGTCAGGCAGTGTCAAGGTGAGGATACCTATTCCTCAGGCTAGTGGCTGGGCTACCGACAAATGGCTGACTGTCGACGCGCCATTACCCGCCCGACACGCGATCTACAATGACTATGAAATATGGAACGCGCTGTCTCGCGTAGAACTCGACTACGAGTGTTATAATCCTGGGTCGAGTGCATTTGATACCGCGATAAGGGCTCCAACTCCCGCTGAAACGATGCTTTCTACCCTGAATGAAAACCTGATGAAGATCCAGCTTCTTCGGATCTGCAAAGCCGTGCCCGGACCCTCTGTGTGTACCATTACGTCGACATATGAGTACAAGACCGAATGTCGGGAATGCAATTGCCAAATTTGCCACAAAGAGGACTGTGGATGCCTGCCTTCGTCCACCGGACATTGCCCGTACGGGACGTGCGATGCGTGCCCTTGCAGTCCCCTGTGTCGATGCTGTTACGACTCTGCCTGCGCTTACAAGCGCAATTGCGAATCTTGCTGCGAGACCCGCTCCTTCACTTCGTGCTCCACCGCCGTCACGTACGGAGTGGACCGGCTGACGCCCCCGGCGGGCGCGGCAGAAGAGGGCACGCATGTTATTCTGAGCGCTAGCACCCCCTTCGTAGCAACGCCGGAGATGGCTTGCAGGTTCGGAGACGAAAGGACAGGGACGGTAGTGCCTGCCACCCTCATCTCGGCCCGTTCCTTGATGTGCGCCGTACCTGCGTTGCTTGGCGTGCAAGGACGTGACGACAGAGAGGACGGTGACGGCGGGGATGCTCTGGGAAGGAGCGTGGAGGTGGAGGCGACTCTGGATGGCATTAATTGGACACGTTCAAACCTGACGTATCATTTTTGTCCCCCCCACGAGGACCTGCTGGATGCGTGCTTGACTGCTCATGGGAACTGTGGACCGGGATGGACGGGGCGCCGGTGCGACATCGAATGCCCTGGAGGCGCCGAGAACGCTTGCCATCGTCGAGGGGTGTGTACGCCACGTAGTGAGGGGGTGTCGGGCATGGCAGGGGAAAAGGAAGAGGCGGTGTGTCTGTGTTCTCGAGGCTATCAGGGACTCGCTTGCGATGTGGAAATCCAAACGGCCTTCGAAGGCAATCTGCCCCCCACGACGTCCATCCAGTCTCTTCAAGGAGCCTCGTCTCTGGAGTCAGGCACACCTGACACTTATAGCCACCAGACATCTGCAAGGCGTCGAGGAGTCCTTTTGGGTGCAGGGGCGTGCTTCCTTCTCATTGTTATTGTGGGCGTGGGCGTGTGCGTGAAAAAGACGGACGTGGCTGAATATGTTTTTTGGAGGCTTGCTGCTTCACGGTTCCGCCGGTCGCGCACAGGGCAGGAGGAAGAAGCTTTTTTATGTGAGGGAGAGAAGGTAAGTGCAAGGGTTGAGGGAGGTAGTCAGGTGGAACTCACACCGTCAGGGTCGTTGGTGCCATATCTGCCTGTCTGGCCGTGCAACTCGCCCCAAGAATATGACGAAGAGGGCGGGGTGGATGGAATTACAATTATGTAAAGACGAAACTCGCGAAACGACAGTTTAAAAAGTAAACGACGTAACGGGATCGAGTGGTAGCTATTGCTGTCCCATAGCGTGTTTGTCCTCACGAAAAGCACTCTCATTCCAACAGTATCATATTGCTGACATTCAAAACAAAAATCACGGCAAAAGATCTCCGCTTTCTCCTGCATCCCACGTTTCGATGTTCACATCCTGCGCGCGAGGCCTCACATGGAACAATGAACCCGGTCGGTCTCCCTTTGCAGCGAGCAGATGTTGCATTATCAATGCGACGCTTGCCGCTGGCTTGAAACGCCGTGACATGACCGCAAAGTGATCGATAACCAACAACACATAATTATCAACACGTAATGTAAACCTTTTGTGCGCGAAGCCCAGCGCCTTGCGTCGTGTTGCCGCGCTCAGAAACCCGTCCCGTGGTGTGCGAGTCCCCCAGGTCTGTGACAGCGGGGGGGTGGTTTTAATAATGCGGCTTGCAGCAATCCTAGCTAACAGCAACTGCTCCCTGAACCCTGTCGCCTAACATTTCGAGGCCAGACTGTGGGCAAACTTGACTTCGTGGCACGCACTGCTGTCATCTCTTCACCATCATTTTCTCGTGGTGAATCGAAATATGGCGTGGGGTTATTTGGGGAGGGGATGGATCTTCCGGGCACTCGAACCAAAGCTCGCGGCGGAATGCGTCGTGTGGTTCTCGATCCATTGGTGGTATCTTGCTCGTACAACTTACCCAGTTTGCTCGATCATTTATCCATAAAGCCTTGTACCTCGTGCATATCCATCGTATAAAACTACTTCAGCGTGCTTATGACAAAACCTTTCCTTGCCATTTCACTCCTTCATGGTCGTCACCGCGACGCTTCTGCTGTCGTCTAACCCTCGGATCTGCTGCAGCATCATGTCCCTTTTTCTTATTTCTAACGGCACTTTTTTTTTATTTCCCGCTATGCGATATATTACAGATAGCAGCTCAGTAGAGGACGTTTTAAAGCATGAACGCAATTACAAACGGAAGGATGCAGTGGTTGTCTCTGTCAATGCTGGCTTTAGCCACGGTGGGCAGCGCCTTCATCTTCCCCGCCAGCCGCCCAGGCACAAGACTGGTCGCAGGTAATAGCACCGAGAAGCACTTCTTCGATAGCCTCCTAATCGATGAGATGGGAGGGGTTCTCTTGCTGGCCACCAAAGTCGTCGCCTTGACCTTGTCCTTCCCTCACTTCCAATTCCTGCCTCGGGTCCCAACCTTCCTCGCCCTCGCACAGAACCACTCACCAAGTTGAACGTCGTCGTTTCTGAGACCACGCGTGAGGGGGTGCCCATGCCCGAACCCAACGTGAAGCCGGCCACGGACAAGCTGTTTGTTTACTTATGGATAGACCACCTTGGAAACCGCGTTTATCGCGCGACCCGCAACATCGGCGCTTCGCCTCGCCGCATCCAGCTCTGGAACCCCTTGGCATCCGATGCCGATCAGGTTGGCTTTTACACCTATCTTTCTCTTCAACTCTCATAAGGTTCTCTTTTCTATCCGTCGCTTATCATCAGCTGCTTGTCCCTTCCTTCCTCCCTCCCTTCATCCTCCCTCCTCCCCGCCCTCTCAGGCATACCCGGAAACCGGCGTCTCCACGGCCCCAAGCTTCACCAAATACGAGGTCTTGGGCGACGATAATCTGGACGCATGGGTAGAGAGCGGTTTTGGAGAGTTCGACGACGTGGAGCCTTCCCCCGTGGCCTACACCATTGAAGGCGCCGAAGAGGGCGGGGCGCGGGGGGAGATGGAGGGCGAGGGCCAACGGGAGGAGGCCAAGGAGCTGACCTCGGAGGAAATCGAGGCCTCCATCAACGCCTACAACGAGTACTACCCACCTGCCTCCTTTGACGCCCTGGTCACGGCCATGCAGGCAAGCTGGCGCACCATCATCCTCTCCCGGGGTAAGCAGGGGGCCAAAGCGATGCGAGAGTTCTATCGGGATCTACACAAAGCTCACCCGGAGCTCGAGCAGAAAGTATGGATCATGGAGACGCACGCAACGCGCTCCCCTGTCCCGGAGGATCCGGACACGTACAACCACTGGATGAGCGACGAGGATATATTGAAAATGGCTCGTGTGGTGCGTAGGATGGGGGGCAGAAAAAGACATGGGAGTGTGTGTCTTGAACCCGTTCTGACGGCGTCAATGGATGGTTCCATGAGATGTCGCTTGTCTGGCGGCAACGATGCTCAAATCAACGCACATCCTGACGGCAACTCCCTTCCCTTTATTCCTCTCAGGCGACGGACGGGCACGACGACGTGGTGGAGTTCTCGGGCCTGGAATTTGAAGACTCGATGGACGGGATCAAGGGGGAGGACTGGGTAACCATTCCACCCCCTTTGTCGTGGTTCAAGGACGAAGCGAAGAAATGAGCGGGAGAGGCCATGAGGAGGAGCGAGGGAGAGGTTTGAAGGAGACTTGAGAGTTGGGCGGAGGAGAAGGCAACGAGGGTGTGTGCCGGGACCGTTGGAGCAAAGGGTCGCGAACGTGCAAGAAAAAGAGCTAGACGAGAGCGGTCATGAATGAGGAGCCGCAATAAAGGACGTCACGGGGTTGAGCTACGAAATGTTTCGTTGAAATGGCCATGGTTAGCAGAGAACAAAATTAGCGGGGCAATTCCTAGTTTTTGAAAGAAACACATGCACCGCGATACCACGAGGAGCACGGAGGTGATGGAGCGACGACGTCAGTGGTTCCTGTTGAGGATGCCGACGCTTGCCACGTCGGATGTGGCCAAAACCCGCGAAAGCGGAGCCATCATCAGAGGGATGAGAGAGGGTGGGAAAGAAAATAGATGATGAGGTCACAGGCCAGGGTGTATAGGAGGATCCACCTACACTACTACTATAAATAAGAGGGCCATTGCCCCGATTATGCCTCCAAAAGGGGGCAGGATGAAAAAACACACCCCTTTCTTTCCGAAGGTCGAGCGTAGTTGTTCGGACAAAGTACGATGTAGTTCTTCTCTTGGTTCTATATTCGTTTTCTGTTTAGGGGGGCATAGATTGAGATTAAATCGGCTGCATAGAGGAGACGCAAAGCACCGAGGCTGGGCAGGGGGGAGGTATTACTACCCCCCGTCTTGAGCCACGCACGCCCCGCTTTTCTTGCTTGATGTCCGCAAGCACGCGTTACATCAACTTTGTTGTGAGCTTTTTGACGTCTTGGAGGAGTAGGATTGGCGTGCATTTATCTCTTGTACGTGGTCGATGGACACGGTGGACGGCAAAGGCTACGCTACATGATTTTTCTGCACCTCCTCTTTCCTTGCGTCCCTCCCAGACCTCACTTAGGCCACGATGCTCAAGATTTTCCTCATCGGACTCCTCTTAAGTCTCATTCCCTTGCTCCTGAACTATGCGTCTCGCCGTGAGTACCCCACTCCACCTTCTGGGGGGGCTGCCGTGGTGCTTTCGGGGGCCTCCACGGGTATAGGGTACGACGCTGCCGTCCATCTGGCCGACGACTTTGTCGTCTACGCTGGTGTTCGGAAGGAAAAAGACGCCGAAATGCTCCGGTCTGTGGGCAAGTCTACTCTAGTACCTGTCATTTTGGACGTGACGTCGCAAGATTCGATTGACGAGGCCTACGTAAAGATCACCGCTGATGCTGCCGAACGAGGCATTCCTGTGTGGGGCCTGGTGAACAACGCCGGGATCATGACAGCCTCCACGGTGGAGCACCACGATGTGGCTGGGATGCAAAAGATTTACGACGTGAATGTGTGGGGTGTTTTGCGGTTGACGCAGAAATTCCTCCCCTTGCTTCGAGCGCAGGCAGGCCGCATCGTGCAAATTTCCTCCATCGCCGGCTTCTTGACCATCCCACGTGCCTCCGGGTATTGTTCGAGCAAGCACGCCTTGGAGTCCTTGAGCGACGGTTTGCGTCTGGAGCTGGCGCATTACAATGTGTCCGTCACGGTCGTGCAACCCGGTGCGGTCCGGAGCGCTATCTTCGAGAAGAGTCAGTCTGCCTCCCAAGCCAAATTGGCGGAGGACCCGCGAGAACTGAAAGTCTACGGGCACATGATCAAAGAGGGATCGACGGACTCGATCATGGCGAAGGCCGACACCCCAGACTGCACGACGAAAGCGATTCGTCAGGCCTTGATGGACCGGTATCCGAAGACACGGGAGGTGGTGGCGAATATCGATGGCTTGCCTGCCATCTTCGCCCACTACATGAAGCACATGCTGCCAGACAGGGTACTGGACAAAATGCTCTTGTCCACGTTTGCATGAAAGGCTTTGTAGGAGACGGGATTTAGAGAGGCTGGTGGAATGCGGGGGTGAAGGAGGGGATCCGGTCAAGAGAGGAAGATGGGTTTTGAACAGATAGAGGCGAACCAAATGGAAAAATGAGAAAAGGAATGATCAGATAAGATGGCAGATGGATCATGCTGCCGCGTTGTCGAAAACCACGGGCCTTTGCTCATACAACAGATATGTTCCTCATCATCTCTACGGACCCGCTGGCTCTTACTAGTGGCATTGACTCATCCGCTCTCCCCTCCCCCGCCCTGGCTACATGTCCCCCCTCTCCCCTTTCCTCTACTCCTCCGTCAGGCCTTGTGCCATGCCACGGGCCCCGCCTCCCTCCCGCCCT